CAGACAAGTCGATCTACCATATATCTTTTTCGAAATCGCTGAAACCATAGACACAGCCGCTTTTCAGCCATCGAAAGCAAGGAATAAAATTTCGTTGTCATGGCATTCAGAAATTGATAGATGTTTAGGTGTACCACCTTAAAACACACCCACTGAATCTCAGTGCAAAGTTTTCGCTACCGGTTCCCAAAATGAAATCAGCCGTCTTGCGTTCTCTCACTTCCCGCCTTGCAAACGGCGTGCCGGCCGTTTTTTCGTTCCTGCTGTCCAGGGAAATCCGGTCCCGGATTCCTCCTGTTTGGAGTTATTCGAACTGTTGACGTGATGATGGGAGGAAGGTTGGTGGGAGGCGGAAGGTGAAAGTATCATGCTGGAGCGCCTGCGTGTTGATTTTTGTATGACATTGCGAGGATAGGGCGCCGAAAATGCCCCCCCCCCCCCCCTACCCAAATCTTCCCTCTTTTCCATTTTCTTTCAGAGTAGCCGGCGCAGGCTGGCTACGAACGACACCAACAAAAATACCTGCTTTTCAGTATTCCTTGGGTCACTCGCATAGGGCGAGCGTCATCCCCACAAAGGACGGCGCCACTGGCCTCTCACAGGCAGACCGGGAGCAGGCGCACAAGGGGAGAGAGGGGCGGCCGGGGTTGCTCTGTTTACGCGTGTGCTCGTGGAATGTAGATTCGTAGAGCGCGCGCGGGGCCGCGACGTTCGCTGTCATTCACACGTAGTGTTGTCGCTTCTTTCACCTACTTTCATTCTTTTTCCTACAGAAGATTCTTTCTTTTCTCTCCTCTACCCCATTTTTTCCCTTCGTTTCTCGCCGGTTGCACAGCGCGTCCACAAAAAGTCACCCTCGTTTTACGAATGGGAAAAAAAAAGGGGGTGACCGTAAAATGGGTAAAACGCACCCCCCATCCCCGTAGAATGCGTAAACAAACCGCGCGTGATTGATTCTTGCCTCAGCTTTTTTTTTTTTTTTGCATTCATCTTGCACTGCACTTCTTTTCGGTTCACAACGGTTTTGTCCCGCCCTCTATCGTGGCTCCGAGCCGCTTTGTATCGTTGAGTTTCATTTTTATTTTTTTTCCTAACCGTCTTGACCTGCCTTGACGGCTGCTTGCGTTCGTGGACAAGACAGCGTCTGCGGGAGGCTGTCATAGAAGCCGTATTGCACGAATACCGGGAAGAAACTTCCAAACCGGACCGGTCGAAGACCTCCAGGTGACCTGGGAGTCTCAGTTCCATTCAGGAGGATGGCAGCGCTTCACGTCGCCACTACTTGAGGTCAGCGGGAGTTCCTGTGGGAATAGCCCACCTGGAATACACGAGGGGGAAAAAAGGAGGGCAATGACAGTGAAAGGCGAAAAGAGGAGAAAACGAAACCTTCGAGGGGTCAGTATACAAATGGATTACCGGTAGCCGTACTGTCCTCTGACAGGCAATCCGCGCTAGCGGGAAGCCTCGCTTCTTTCATTGTAACCGGGCATTCTTCAGTTAGACGCATGCTCTATTTTCACGAGGGGGACGAGGTTGGAAAACCCATGAAAGATCTAGAACGGGGAGACAGGAAGCACGATCATATGTAGCGGACACTGTGGTCACACTTCATGATGATCGCCTGCAGCTTATTCTATAACGTGAGAAACACGTGTTCGGAGCGTAAGGTCCGATCACGTTGTCATACGTACGAAGACGCCATTATAACTCCGCGGTTCATTTGTTTTAATATTATTTTGTGCCACCCCGAGTGTCAGGGCACTCCAATAAGAGAGGGGAAAAGCGAAGGACGTTAACCACATGCCAGTTTGGCTTTCCACTGTGCTCAAAGGATGAGGTGTGTAACAATGAAATTAGATGAAGAGAAAAGGAGAGGGAGAGGAGGAAAAGCGCTATATAGCAGTGTCGAGCTGGGTAGGTCCTCATCATTTTGGGAGATCTGTAAGCATGCGTACATATTGCATCTCCTGCACTGGAATGTAACCTCCTCTCCTTTCTACCTTTCACTCTTTCTTTTAATCATTTACCTCTTATCCCTTGTTCGCATTCTTTCAGTCCACCTGTTATCCTTGTCTAGGGTTACCAACCTGACATCCATCTTATTAGCTTGCCTGCTTGGTCTGAATATTCTCTGACCGATATTCTTGAGGTGTTATTTTCTGTGCGCGTTCTCAGAGTATATTTTTTTCACATTTATTCCAGCCCCAATTTTCGTCCTTCTAGTTTTTCTCGAATCAATAAGTATAACGCTCAGCTAGCTATTCAGTTATTTTTCTTCATGGTTTTATTTTGGCCAGTGGACCACTCAGACGGCCTCTGTAAGGCAAGATGGTGGTGTTCTTTCTGGCATTCTAGCGGCTTTCTATTGGCCTGAAGGCGCTGTTCAGTGCGCAAACGCACAAGCACAACTGTCCTCTTCGAGTTATATTGTCAGAAAATGGGACATGGCAGAAACACGCTGCGAAGTTCCTGCAAGACGAGTTAAGGCTCCTTCCCATAGAAGATGGCTGTCAAGCTACACGCCTTGATTCGTTCATAAGACTTGCTCGAATGCCAGTCACTTGCATTACTCCGTTGAAAACTATCATTCTTGGAGAAGGTATATTGCCGCAAATGAAGGCATATTACTTTTCTTGTATTTTCTATTTTTAATGTGTTCCATTTCATTTCTTTCACTTAACAATCACGCATGTAAATTAGGAATATAGCGGTTGGCTAACGTCTCTAACTAAATTCTTTCTCCGAGTCCGCTTTCACAATTTACTGCCATGCTTCGTTATGATGATTATGATGAAGATGATGACCCTGAGAGTATGGGCACCGGCCCCACAATAGAGGATTCACCAAGTATCAAGTGCATCTCATAGCCATTTGAGCAATCTCAATAATTTCGGGCCCCGTTGCGCTTTTCATTGTTTTTAAGTGACCACCGAGAAAAAGTTCGGCTTTCCAACCAGCCTTTTCTGGACCGAAAGAAAACACAACAAACTTGTGAAAATGAGCAATTGTTTTTTGCACTCACTTTGTAGAGCTTTTTTTATCTGAAGAAAACTGTACCATTATTTTATTTAAGTAAGTTTTTTTTGCTAATCTAATTGCGCACAAAGATACCCACATGCGTGGTAGCAGAGGCGGAAACGCATTGAAAGACGACTCACAGGGGGCGGAGGAAGAATAAACAATTGAAAAAACATGAACTTGTGGGACCATCTCACATAGAAAAACACAACTACCACAGCTAATTATTTGTTCCACGTTGGACGAATTTTTGTTGGTGAAGAGTCGTCGACCTTACTACTAGGAAATCTTATGATGGCTACACTTGTCAACGGTCACGATAGGCCTAGAGAAACGTAGCACACATGACGGCAATAAAGAAACAATGACAGAGGCTTCTTTCATACTATAGCAATTCATGTCGATGTTGCTGAGCGTTAGAAGCGTCCAAAACGTAAGTTATGGTATGCCTAATGGAACACAAACAAACTAATAAAGGAGCGTGTGACTAAAATATCAAGAAAAAGAATAGCAAAGCAACAACCTCACCCCATTTCTACCTAACTTCGATATTCGTATAGAAGCAGCGGAGCGGCGTTTCTCCTGCGTTTCCCTTGTGATTTTTGGTGAGTTTCTGTGATGTTTTGTGATTTTATGTGGGTGTCTGCGATAGCGTAATTGGTTGGATAGAGATGCGTGGAAAAGGACGTGGGGTCCACTGCAGCGGTGCAGCGGTTCGGCGCTCGGTTACTGACTCAGAAAGTCCTGGGTTCAATCCCGGAGGTGGTGGCTTCATTTCAGGGTTGGCAAAAGGATTGATGCCCATGCTATGTGCGTTGTAAATGGGCGTTAAATAACACCAGACAGCTGACATATCCGGAGACCTTTACCACGGCGCACTTCCATAAGTATATTGTGGTTTTGGCACGTGAAATCCCAAATATTATTTAGAGGGGCCATGACGTGGACACCTAGCAATTTGGAGTGTTCAGTGAAAACTAGAAATAGAGCGTCTATTATGCCTGTACATATCTGAAAAGTAGGCCCTGAAAATATTGTGCTGCAAAATAAGCTCTGTAGTAGTAACCGGCCCTAAACACCTCCCCCCCCCCCCCCCCCGCCGTTGACGGCCATTTTGCCATGGCACGCGTGATGTCATTTGCTGAAAGGAGTAGAGCCGTCGTCTTCTACCAAAGTTACGCCCGCTGCGAATCGTTGAATTTCAGTGCCAAGCTGAAGATAGCCGAACTATTTGGATTTTACGCGCAGCTTACCACGCAACGATGTCGCTCACCGGAATGCAGATGTTCGGACAGCCAGCTCCTTGTTACGTCATGGCTCGCGAGTGCGCCAGTGTTGCCTTACTCTCGGGCCACTTGCTTGCTTATAAAATTATTCAGGTATAGGTGAAGTGTTCGACCAAATGCAATAAAGCTTTGCCAGCTTATTTGTGAATGCGCAAGGTTTTATCCACATAACACGGATTATGACCGGAAATCGGGTGTCATGACCCTCTTAAGGTCTTCGAGCAGCCCCTGCCACTCTTGTCTTTGCTTCAGTGATTTCAGTGACCTCTTCACTCCCCAGCCACCTTTCCTCTCGTTTCACTTTGCGGCATCCGTGACCTACCGCGACCGATGCAGTTACACCATCGATGAGTTCGATCTGGGAAGCAGAGTGTGAAATGATACGCCGGCACTCATTTGTCGTCAAGCTTAGCCTTAGAACAACTCCGTTGTTGAAATGATTGTATATGGTAAGTAGACTGTGCCATACCTGCTTGAAAACATGTTTGGCAAATGCATTTTAGATGTTCAATTTTCCTACCTAGTTTAATATCACACTGGCAGCAGCGAAGCCGACTCCCTTGCGTCACCTTAAATGTAAATCGGCGCTTCCCGACATTCAGCTGCCTTTTCGAGTGCTTTGGTTGTGCATGATGAAAGAGATGACAAAGAGGAACTATTCAAAGTTCTAAGCGCTCGCCTTCTGCGCACTCGCAGTGTTTGACAGCACGGCCAAGCCCGAGAGCGGTGTTCTGACCGGAGGCCTGACTTTCCTGGGCTACTACTCGGAGTGCATCGCGGCGCTGCCATCTGAACGCCACGCAGTGATGGCCAACGAGTCGAAAGTACCGCCCTTCACGTCCACCTACTGCCTGGCCACGGTCAGCTTCAAGAACGCCCAGCCATGGCCACCCAAGGTGCGTCGCGGACTTGTCGCTTGTGTATAGTTCGTAGAGTTGCTCGTGTCACCTAGTGTCGCACAGAGCAATGTGACTCAAAAAAGCTCGAAGAAGACTCCACTTAAAAATTTAGGGACACTTCCTGAATTCCAAAGTGTGTTTGGCGAAATCCTGTGGCCATTCGAAAGACTATGCAATGGCTTTTTTTTACACTCTTTGTGAAAAGTCACACAGACCAAATGTTTTTCTTTTTTATTTTAACCGGGAATCGCAGTGAAACGTGAGGCTAATCTACCTCCATTTTGCATGCGTTCGTATTCTCCCACTTTGCGCATCGTGCAGACGCCATCCACGTTATAGCACTCATAAGGCTGATTGACCCTCCCGCGAGAGGGAGACGCCACAGGTTGCGACGTGCCAGGGAACCGGACACCGGTGACCACGAGTATGAGACATAAAAAGCTTTAAAACTAGTTCTGCTTCATAGGCGGTGTACACCTTCGCCAGCCGAAAGAATGGCAAACATGTTGCATTCGTAAGAGTTCTTTCTTCTACTGGAACAGTCGTTTAACATTGAGGATGATGGTCAGAGGACGTGCGCGAAAATGCCACTAATGGTGTCACGGAAACTGAAAGTTGCTGTGTATGCTGGGAGCTCTACTGAAAACCAGGTAGTCCGCAAACGTAATCGCTTATACGAGTATACGGAACGTTTTAACTGGGGGTTTGAATTCTACATGCTGCTGACCCGATGGTCGTGGGTTCGATCCCGGTCGTGGCGATCACATTTCCATGTAGGCAAAATACAGGCACGTGTACTGTGCGTTGCCAATGCACGTTGAACACAAAATGGTCAAACTTTGCGGAGCCCTTCTCGGTGGCGTCTCTCATATGAATGCCGTGGTTTTAGAACGTAATACTCCAGATATTATTATTAGGCTGTTTCTATAGCGATGTCTTGGGAACTGAGTCACCATCGTCGATCCATCTAAAAATGGCTGCGCAGTCGTCGATGCAAAACACAACGCGCACACACAGGACTATGATCGAGACTTCGTTTTTGCAGGTGGGCATGGCATTTTTCGCCGGTTTTTCCCCCTTCAATGAGTCCCGTCGCGGTGGTCTAGTAGCTAAGGTACTCGGCTGTTGATCCGCAGGTCGCGGGATGGAATCCCGGCTGCGGCGGCTGCATTTCCGATGGAGGTGGAAATGCTGTAGGCCCGTGCGCTCAAATTTGGGTGGACGTTAAAGAACCCCAGGTGGTCGAAATTTCTGGAGCTCTCCACTACGCCGTCTCTCATAAGCATATGGGGGTTCTGGGACGTTAAACCCCACATATCAATCAATTAAATCCCCCTTCAATGAGTCACCAACACGGCCACCTCTAGATATTTTTTTGACAACTGGTTAGCTTCGCGGTTGTGCCCTGCGTACGCGAAAACAGACTGACTCTGTAGAATCAAAGGTCCATGTGATTGGCTCCGGTCCAACCCGTCCCATGCAAAAACGCTGGAAGAGGTAACTTACCTTTCGAAGGTGAATCGACTAAACAAGCCTCCACCACCGCCGGCTTGGCGTGCTTGCCGTAACGGAAATCAGAATTCGGGTTTTCAGCCCTATATACTAGCCGATTCAATCCGGCTTGTGCAACGTAATTACATCATGACAACTGCAACGGAGTCTTTATGGCAAAATGAACAATACTTCACATTTTCGCTCTATGATTAGGTAATCAGCCAAACAATTTATAACGCCAAAACACACTGCAGGCGAAATTTAGTATAACTTTTCTACAACAAAAATGAAGTAAAAGATGAGTTGAAATCACTGTAAGTTTAACATTCACATCCCCTCTTCTTTTTTTGTTTTAGTACACTTCTGAAGCTTCCTAACGCACACACCTTAAGGCTTCCTTTAATTTTCGTTGTATGAACATTTTATGCTGAGACATGAACTTAGTGAAAGAAATATACTGAAACAACGCGTCAGTGCTGTGTCAACAACCACGACAGTTCGTTGTCTCCTCTGGAAACATGTCTTTACAATGACCAGTGAATTTAATGGCATTAGTGCTAATACCTAGTCCTAAGAACAAAGGCAAGAGATCAGAAAAACAGATGCAAGGATTTGTCTTATACCCAATGCTACCTTACGCTTCGGCAACCTATAGTGAAACCTGCATATTCGCTGGGATTATACGCTGCGCAGAAGCCGCCTCATAAATTTCCACACTCGTATGGTACTCGAGGTAAAACACGCTGCGGCGCGCAATCGACGCTTACGATTGCGTCAGCGCTCAGAACAAATATATAAATAGAAGAGTCGCGTATGTCCACAAGTTCTGTAGAAGCCAGTGGAACAGCATCGGCACAGGAAAGTTTCCTCAAGGATGGCGTAAGAGACCGCCGTGGTGGTAGTTTAGTCTGTCTTTGTTGCGGTTGGTCGATGAGTCCGGTGTCCTTTCCTTGAAGCCTTGTATTGATTATTTTTATGGACATTAGCGTATTTTACACCTTGTTTCAGAGTCTCTGGGCATTCGCCCTTTTACTCATTTTTGTTTTTATTGTTGGCCTTTCCTGAGATAATGCCCAGGTGCGAGTCATGGACTTCGCGGAAATCTCAAAGAAAACAAAGAGCTTCTTTCGAAATATGGTGTTTTCGTAGATTTTCGAGAATTCCATATTTCGGTCATAAGATAGATCAATCGATTTTTTTCCCTCCAGATCATAGGTAATAAAACTAAGGCTTTAGTAAGGCCTCAAATTCGTCATAAAACTCGGAAAGGGACCGGTATGAGTAAGAACGATGTAGTAAGTCACGTGATGAAACGTGACGCAAATATGAGCTCCTTTAAACATCGCAGATCGGCCAAATGTGTGTCATCTTATAACATTGCGTCACATGATCCGTATATTGTAAGAATTTTCTGTTGCTCCATATAAAGTTTACCGTCATTTTTTATCGACAAACCGAGGGTCCCACTAAAGTCTCTGGCTCTGGGACCCTCGTCTGTATATCCTAGATTTTGTACCTTGTTTTTGGAAATATGAAAACTTAAAACTTGAAACTTGATGACATCATAACATGACATCGTAGCGTGATCGAAGATTGGCTGAGCACGGAGGCACTGCGACATCGCGTGAAGTGCAGATGAGTGCACGTGAAGGCGGGCAAGGATCAATACAACATCGATGGAAGAAAAAAAAGCAAATAAATTGGCTTGCTTCTTCTGGTTGCTTTAGGCCATACATTAGGCGTCTGTGTAACTCATTTTGACCATGATAACTAATGCACGATAATGCCAAGGAAAGTGTAGGAGATGTTATTAAAAGTAATTGTCATGTAAATGTGTAAAAAGAAAAAGCGAATGAAAACATAACTTCCCACTAGCAGTGACTTGACCTGCGACCTTTGAATAACGCTTTCAATGCTCTACCACTGAGCTATGGCCAGGGTACCTCCGTCGGCTTTATAGGGCGAATACGCACTTAAACGTGATAGTGTCAGTGAGGGCCGCTAGTATTCATTATGGTGAGTTTGATCCACTGCTTTTTTTTGCCTGTGAACGTCACGTGGCACGTCATTATAATACGAGCTTGCAGCTGACCTCTAATCCCTTTATCTGAAGGCATCAAGTCTGCAGAACGAGACCCTCGCTATCACTGAAGGAAAGAAGCAAAATTTAACACCTCTTTTATTTGTCAGGAGATGAACCTTTAAATTGAAGCTTATTTAAATTCATTTCAATTTCTTTACCCTAAAGGTTATGTGGCATCACAGAGGGGAGAGGTTTCAAGGTTACAAGGAACAAGATACAGCATGAAAATAAGTTATTCAACAAACAAAAACTCCTCATTATACAATACTAGCTGTGTATGGACGACTTCGATACAATGTGAACATAATACATAAAAATACATGACGTAATGCTTTGTACACTCTTTAATTACACAAAATCAGGTAATTCTTGACGGTAAAGATGGTTATTAGTAATAGTTACTATGTATTTTCTTCAATTTGGTTATGCCATGTGATACCAATACAGTGGAGCAAAAAACTATGCAAGCCAAAGTGAAAGATACGGCTTTTCTTATACACACGATGACTAGATGGCGTTCTTGAGCCCATAACGGAACGTCTACTGTGGATTAACGACCTTGTATTGAATCGTTCCAACTGGCGTCAATATACTAGTGCTGTCGCATCTAGAGTTCCTCGCGACTGCACTGTTTAAGAATAATAGCAAACACTTGTGCTGCCATTGTCCCTTATCTTTTTTTGTGAGGTTCCGATTCCTTATATTTTCTATCTGCTTTTAAGGAAACGCACAGGTAAATCTGTGCGTATCGGCGAAAACTGCCATCCCCACTTGCCCATCCTCCTTCCTCTTTCGTTGTGGTTTGGCTTCTCCTACTAGCTGCATACTTTAGGTGCAGCTTGCTTTAGGGGGGATTCGAGGTTTCGAGGTCCCCCGTTAACGTTAAAGGGACACTGAAAATTATGGTGTCATGATACTTAATTTTGTAAAGCGAATTCAAAAATTAAGTCGATCATGTGCATAAACCAACGAAGATAAATTTATTTTGCCGAAAAAAAGCAACAGGTTCCGTGGCCGCCGTCGTGAGTCTCGCCACGGCTGTGATTGGTCAAAGCTGCATGACGTCAGGATGACGAGCAGAGCTCAGTGCGCTCGCCGGCAATCAATGCCTTGCTTATCCTTAGAAATAGGGTGGTTGCTGTAAGTATGGCGAACTGTAAAAGTTGGACCGAGTTCGCTGTAAATCCGTGCATGTTCGAGCCGGTCGCCACATTTAAGAGCAGTGACTGAAGCGGCAAAGAAAAGCGACTCCCTACCAGCCACATTCACCGCCCCGGAAACTTAGAATGGTACCTATAAGATGCATGATATTGCCTAATTTAGCTGTAGTGAACTGTTACAAATGATACGCTTATCAGTGAATAACAAATTAGATAAAAAACAGCAGCATCACTACTCGCTTTTAGCCGCGTATTGGCACGGTCCGCGCTAGGCGCGTGCAGCGTCCAGAAACATCAGCTGTTCGTGGATTTCACAGCTCAGATGCAGCGTTGTTAGTGCAGTCAGTATCGTACTTTTAAGCGGGCAAGGCGCACGCCCCGAGTAAGTATGCTACCGCGAAAAAAAAAAAAAGGAGGGAGACAAGTGCCGCTCTTGCCGCAGTGGTGATATGTGCTCTGAACTGCGCTGAAAATTACGAAAGAAGAGTTTCGCTCATATAATTCGCTGTTTTCTTTTTTTTTATAACACCGCCGATTTTTCGAAGTTCTGCCCACTACTACAATGATGATGTGTTAAAATGCAAATGGTATATGCGCTAGAAGCTTGAGGCACTGGTGTAGAATAGGTGATTTGGATTATGCGTACTGATATTTTTGTACACGTGCTTTCGCTATAGGTGCTCATGCACCCATTGTATGCAAATGGGATTGATTAATTGATATGCGGGGTTTGAAGTCTCAAAACCACTATATGATTATGAGAGACGCCGTAGTGGAGGGCTCCGGAAATTTCGACCACCTGGGGTTCTTTAACGTGCACCCAAATCTGAGCGCACGAGCCTACAACATTGCCGCCTCCATCAGAAATGCAGCCGCCACAGGTGGGATGTGAACCCGCGACATGCGGGTCAGCAGCCGAGTACCTTAGCCACTAGACCACCGCGGTGGGGCGTATGCAAATGGGGAAAGAGGAGGAATGGTGCTGCTGCCTTGAAATTCGGCACATTCGTGAACGCCACAGCGCGCTTCATCTCGTAGGTTTGAAGTGTTTTATTTTAACTGCAGCGGCTCATTTTGCATCTATCTTCTGATCCCGAGGAAACCTGTGAAAAGCGACCTAATCACGGCCATAAGTGCCGCGGCAGCTATATGTCGCGCAGTGACTCGGCATCGCGAGTCTCCTCAACCTTGCAAAAACACAACTAGTTAATGTCGGATGGCAAAAATCTCTAATCAGAAGAAAAGAATGGTGCAATGGCAGGAAATTCCTACGAACTGGCAAAACTGATGCCACGCCATGCTGCAGATCGCACCAGAAACAAGATACAACCGCGAAGTAAACAAGCTGAGCTCAATGAGCGGCGCAGGCGGCCCGGCGCAAAGTTGCCCGCTGAGCGGCGGCTCGACTCTGACGGTGACGTCACCTCCCCCCGTGTCTGCTCGCTTGTTTAATCGAACCTCGCGAAAAAGACCTCCATAGACATGTTGTAAGTGGTCGCGGATACCGAATTCGCAATAATTTCGTGAACTAAAAACCTCTACACTGTCCCTTTAAAGGGATACTAAACTCAAATATCATTTTACGTCAGAGTTAAAGCGCAGTGTATTACAACGTTCAAAACGACAATATTATCAACAGCAGTGCCCTACTTAACCGAGAAATCAAGGTAAATGCACAATAATACATGCGCCACAGTAGGACATCTTCAAAATGATTTCGATAATGTCAGATGAATCGTCTACAATTCATGAGTAGTAATCAATCTAGCTACACTAAATAAAGAATATTCCGTTCATTAAGAGACGTAATAAAGTGCTGCTTGATCGTTTATGTTTGATTCATGGAAAAAATAACCACCAGACGTTACTACGGAATAATAGCGTGAGTTGTTCGAAAATTCGATTTTTGTCTGGTTAAACTGAATAGGTCGCGCCATCTAGCGGTTTTCTATTGAAACAATCACGCCAGCAATTTTAAAATCCAGGGCTAAATATTGTTGAATTAGAGTGTACTAGAATGTTTTGAGTGGTGCGACCAGTCGCCTCGGAGAGGGCCACAGCGCGTATAATGTTGGTGGTGGCGCTGCAGTCAACGGAACTTGAACGCGTCTCCTCCTCCTTGCCTCGCAGGGCGGAGTCGAAGCGCGCAAGAATTTCGTGAATTTTCGTGCTGTTTCAAACAGGTCATTGCTTTCAAGTAGAAACATACCCGGCGTGTTTTCAAACCGACGGGTTGGGATGAGAAAAGTGCACTTTTCCCCATCTATTCGCTTCCGCACACGTATTGCTCTTAAACAGACATTCCTACATCCTCCCCCACATCCTTCACTTAACAGAGCAGATGCTGTCGCTTGGCGGCAACTACAGACCAATTCATTTCCTTGCCTTTATATGCTAAATCGCTTTCATCCGACTCTCTACCCCTCCTACTGCCCCTTCTGTGGATCCGTACCGACAGTGTACCACTCCACGTGGGAATGCTCTGCCCCATAGGGCGTTTCTCACATTACCAACCCCACCCCTTCCTCTTGGAAGTCTGCACTGCTCAGCTTACGCCGGCAGGAACAGCAGCAGCTGGTCCAGCGGGCTCGCAGGGTCGCGCAAGACAATGGAGCCCTGGACTGAGGGCCCCACCCAAAGAAGGCTCATTGTGCATTTGTTATTAATAAAAGTTTATTCTCTCTCTCTCTGTACCCGACATGACTACTTACATAAAAACATAGAAGTTCTGCTGTGCCACGCGTAGCCGGTGTGCGCTTCCATGCTCTTCGATAGCGCAGTTCAGTGGAAGAGTAATGTGACTTTAATAACGCCACAGCGGTATTTTCCATAAGTAAGTGGCTTCCGGTTCGCGTATCCAATTATTTCACATGCGCTGCTAACTTGGAAGACAAACTTTGTTAACTTATCCCGGCTGTGGCGGCTGCATTTCCGATGGAGGCGGAAATGTTGTAGGCCCGTGTACTCAGATTTGGGTGCACGTTAAAGAACCCCAGGTGGTCAAAATTTCCGGAGCCCTCCACTACGGTGTCTCTCATAATCAAATAGTGGTTTTGGGACGTTAAACCCCACAAATCAATCAATCAAACTTTGTTAACTTCTATGTATACCTAAAGCTGAAATTGCCAGAAACAGAAATACACAGGAAGCAACGAAACACAATTTATTTACATATACTGTGCTCATAAGTCCGTCCCCAGCATAATCCTGCTGTACAAGGTTTCTAAATTCGGCTCAGCTTTAAATACTGCTGTACTTTTCTGCGTGCATAGTAGCGAGACTTGTTTAGTTCCGAGACAAAAAAAATAAAGTCTGGAAAATATATAAAATCCAGTTAACCTAAAGATAGCCCCTCGAAGTGTTGATTACACCTAATGTGATTCATGCCCTTCTTACTCACAAGGGTTAGCACATTCGTAATGCTGTCTTGCTGTAGCTGTGCGGTACTGAAACATTCGGTAGAAAGGTCCTCAAGTTCACTAATGAACCTGAAAAGGCTCAAAGAGGGGTTGAGCAAGCCGCCAAAATTGCATTCGCTTGTGAACGTAAGAGTTGATGTTTTCCCTCGTGAGCAGGCAGGAGCACCTGGTCCATGCGCACTTGACACACTTCCGTGCAACGTATCCCGCAATGTAATGCGTTCACCTCACTCCTTTTGGTATTATATGAATGCGTTGATGTGTTTCCTTTACTCTCAAGTGCAGCCTCTGCTCCATCAAGATTTTCTATGTTGTTTAAGGTGTCGACGACTTGCTGCTGTTTTTGGCTATTTGCTGGCTGGTGATTCACTGAAAGAAGCGAATCGATGACGTCCTCGGGCACGTTTGAGCTAGTGACGCTCTTAGCCCAATTATAATAACTCAAACAGTTTACAGTAATCAGGAACTGCTGTGGACTTAGGCGAGAATTGCAGCCAGACGACTGCCTCACAATCTTAAATGTATAATGAAGAAGAAATACATTGATACCATCAGCTAAATTATCATCACCACGAGAAGAAGGCACGAGATCAGTGATCGGGCACCCTCATCTTGGTACGCCTGCGTTCCTTTTCGAACTACCACCGGCTTGCTCAGCTCGTTGAGTCACCGCTCTACATTGGCCGTGGCTTTGAAAAGCGACAATTTGCGACCTTGCGCAGTCTGTGTGTACCCAGTTTTGCAACCAGGTGCGTAGCAGTGATTAAGCCGTCTCCTCGAAGGCATCGTACGAGATAGGAATATAGGAAACGATTTTTTCAACGCGAATATTACTGCGCACAAATGTCAACAAACACACTGAACAAGCGAGCTGCAGCAGGCTCGAGCGGGTGCTCTTCAAGTGGCGACAACGACATCGCCGCCGCAATTTTCCACGTAGCAGAGGGGCGGTGCCTAAGAATGGAACCGGTCTCCGTTCACTCCACTCAAAAGTTTCAGTACACTCTACTCTAGTTCTATTGCCGTTGTTGCAGCTCTGGCTGCCACTACTTTCGTTCTGCTGGTACTATTGTGTCGACGATCGCGCATAAAAACTGGGCAACGTTGTGCTAGGCAACACTGACATCTGATGTTCCGTTGAGGCGGGTTATTAGAAGTGCATTATTCTGATGCGGACCACTAAAACGCAATTTTATTACAAAGTAAGAACTTCGTTGGCACAAAAGTAGAGGTACGAGGATTTCGAACCACTATTTAAACAAAAAAGGTCGACCTACTAGGTGCCTTTAATGTATATTTAGGACGACTGGCTCCATTCAAACCATAACATAAACTTCGTGATGAAAGAAATATATATGTCAGCTTGTAGAGCTAGGTGTCACAATTTTATTTCTGTGCCAAGGGCTTTTATTTGTTAAGGCTACTAATGAATAGAATACTTAAATAGGATGAGCACAGAAAAAAACATTACCAACTACAAAAAACAAAAAGAACAGAAACCGAGAGGCTGGCCTAAAATCTTTAAAACATACATGCAGGCGCAGATTTCAGATATCGGTGCATGAATTGCTCTGGCATTCTTTTTTTTTTTTTTGACGCACTTGTAAATAAGGCTGCGATATTTGCTTTCTCACGCAGGGGTTTCCTGAGTACTTGTGGAAGGAGCTGCACGGTAGTAGCATGCGGTTCGGCCTGTGTGTGCCGTCCAGTTGCGGCGAAAAGGAAATCACCGAGCTGGCAGCCGAGTGTAAGTGCCTCACTTTGGATTATGTATAATAACCCGATAGCGGTGCATGTTTTGGACGGAAAGCCTTGCGTCCGAATCAGCCGTGTTATGACTGAGGCCACCGATGAAGGGTTTGAGGTTAACATATAAATAAAAACTCAAGGCAGCTTCGCACTTGTGCTGCCAAGCCCGAAAGAACAATGGAGCTGGATGGTCTGTACCTCTCTCTTTATTTCTCTCTGTTTTTATGTTTGTTTGTTTCATTCTTTCTGGCTTTTTTTTCTTTCCCTATAATTTTACTCTATTGAAAATTGTGAAAGTGTAAGATGACTGCAGCAGTGGGACGCATTCACAAGCAGTGAAATCAACCACGAACGTGCATTATTCCTGATCGAGTCAGGGCGGTTTGATCGCAAATATTTAAATCATAAAACATAATTTCTTTTAACCAATTTATAGCCCATAAAACTAATAAAAGATCCTTTCTATATAATTATTCGTTTCATGGCCAATCCCCCAGAGGAGTGGGTGGGAGCCATTAAAGACCATCATCATCACCATCATCATGATGGCAATGTAGATCAGGTAAGACGGGCGTAATGGCACGCTCATTGTCACTGTAACTTCGAAAGATCTCCGACGAGCTGGGCGTACAAGCTGCCACTACTCGCTAAATTATTACTCAGGGTTTCACCCGCAGTAGTTGCACAAGAATGGCACCAGTAGCGTTAGGGCCTGAATTTTCCGCGTACGGCCAAGTAGTCAAGCCGATACTGCACAAAAGTGATTAAGACTGTCTAATTCAAGGACACCAGGACGAAGTGTTTCAGCGTTATAAGCACTCTCCTCAGTGAGTTATTGCAACAGGTGGAGGCAGCCAACCAGGAAATCACCAAACATGTCGCGCAGCGTTTCATTATCTCATTTCCCTTCAGAGGCGCATCTAGAGTTGTTGCAGCACAAGCCAAAGCCACTGGAACTCTGCAAAGTGGTCGGTTTTGTTCATCATCTCGGCGTTCATGGCCCTACGGATTGTCAGCAATGCTTGAGCGATGAATTTTAATGATCTTCTGATTTTGAAGTTTCTTATTCCTGCAAAGTGACGAGCGATATTAAAGAGGGACGTTTTAGAAGGCGTGGGGGCCACCAAGATGATTGTAGCAACAAAGAGGCGCTTTTTTCAGATGTTGATGAAAGAGCACGTCAGACTGCCGAATGATTACTTTGAAAGGGGAACTTTGTATTTACCATACTTAGAACATAAAGGAAGAGTGACATCGGTACTACCAATGTTCAGAGCTGAACTTGGCACATCGTAGTTAATGTGGCTGTTTTATGGCTGAAACATAGGCGGACTACACTCTTGGAACTTCGCATAGATGTGGGAACGATAGCTTCGCTGCAGACTTGAATATGATATCCAAGCCTTCTGTTAACCTCTCTTAGGTCGTTTTAGAGAATGTTTGTCATTTTCGTGTAATTTTTTTCACGTTTCTTTTTCATTACGTTGACTTCTTTCTTTTCATTTGTGTTTACTTTTCACATTTATTATGTACGGCACCGTGTAGCATTTTATTTTGCATTGTAATGCTTTGTATGTTCTATTTTCTACTTTGTTGTATTTCTATTGTTTCATTTCATATTTGAACTGTTCTTGTCGGCTAGCCTGCGGCTAATCTGCCGCTGATTTCAAAGTTTAATCTTCTTGTGTTTTATACTAGAGAGTCCCGGTTCCAGTATTTAAGCCCGGGTACTCTCATAGTATACAAGTATTACGTAACTGATGTATATGTAAAGAATAAACTGCAGCTTGAAAACTTCTTCTATTGTTAATAAAAAAACAGCTGTTTATTTCGTTTCTTTTTGTTTTTTTATGTTTGCAGTTGTGCAGGCGTTCGACCGGGGTGTCAACGCGACCTCCACAGCCTGCTCACCAAGCCGCGAGCCCTTCGTTTCCAACGTACCAGCGATTTCAGTCACGTAAGGAAGCTGGTCTGGAATTGTACTTATCCGATAATGTCATTTTATCGTTACAACTTTGTATTGTCTCACGGCCTCGCGGACGTGTTCATGAAGCCTTTGGTCCATGCAGCGATTTCTCTTCATGTTGTTGCGTGTAAACCGCGAGCGTTTTTCGCAAGGATTCACTGCTTGTTGAGGGTCGCCTTTGTTTTTCTTTCAGTGGCTGCCATGCTCCTCTTTTTTTTTGGAATCGTCAAGAAGTTGCGCATCCCATTGTTTTCAATTAGGTGACTCATTTAATGATCTGAAAGCAAAAAAAAAAAAACCAACTGGTTTTAGATGTTTTTTCAGGACACTTTATAGCGCTTTATATTTTTTTGTCCTTTTTCGTGCCTTTGCTCACTGTCATATGGTGGCAGCGTCCACCTTCACAGAACAGTCGTAATACTGAAGTACCGCTCAGCAACGCAAGCAAGTGCCCACCAAGTTTATGGAAACTAACAGAACAAACGACCATTTACCCTTTTTATTGCTTACCTGTCTCTACGTTTCTGCGTCAAAGCGGAATAGCTTGAACTCGACCGGCGTAGGCGACTGTTGTTCTCTCAAAATTCTATCAAAAGCACTCATCATCAGCACCAGTATGACCGTACTAACTCCCTGTCGTCACGGCGCGTCGGGGTGGCCTCCCCCCGACGTGGTGTGCCCGGAGGCAGCTTTGCAGGTGCTGTGTCCGTTGTCACGTGATTAATCATGCAGGGTGGTGGCGAGTCTAGGGCTGGGTATAGCGTACGCACCGCGGCGTCACTACACGTGCATAAGTATGTCGACAGCTCCTACGGCTGCTTACAAACATTAAATGGGCCTATGTCATCATTTTCGCACGTAAAACCTCATAATCGTGCGCGTGCATTGTATGTTTAACGTACCAGTCATAGGTGCTGCAAAACTGTTACGCCGTGGTGGCAGTGAAGTCATGGGTCATTCATATACACGTATTTTTCTCACCATTTCTGTGCGCACGATCATCCGTGATGCAGGTGCGTCCTGATGCTATTTGTCGTCATGGCTTTCATGGGCACAACGTACGATGTTGCACGGAACCTTGGATCGTCCCACAAGAAGCCTTCGTCATCTCGAAGCGTTGACACTACCATGGCCTCCAACGAAGGCCTCGTCAATGGAGGACCCATAGTTGATCGTGGTAGGAAATGTTTCACCAATGAGCATCGATGCGATGGTCGAGTGCACTGATCATGTCGCGTGAGTTGCATCGGGTGAATATCGCAGAAGCGCGAGTGACGCAGCTTAGTGTGTTGCTTGTAAGATTGATTGCTAGCCTTTGTAAAGAATAATTGATTGATATGTGGGGTTTAACGTCTCAAAACCACCACATGATTATGAGAGACGCCGTAGTGGAGGGCTCCGGAAATTTTGACCACCTGGGATTCTTTAACGTGCACCCAAATCTGAGCACACGGGCCTACAACATTTCCGCCTCTATCGGAAATGCAGCCGCCGCAGCCGGGATTTGAGCCCGTGACCTGTGGGTCAGCAGCCGAGTACTTTAGCCACTAGACCACAGCGGCGGGGCTCTTTGTAAAGAAGCAGCGCTTGCTTTTATTAGGACAGGATTACTAAAACTCAAGTTTGTTCCGGATTTTTTTTTTTACCGGCAAAACCTTGTTTTGTTGACCGCTAAATGGATCGCTTTTCTTCAGAATGAATTGGGTCTTGTGAGGGAACAAGGAATAAAAGGAAAGAGTTCTATTTCCGTGGTAAATTGCTCCTGTGCCTGTATTCTCGATAACTGGAAGTTTTCTGACAAACTTGTGCACAGTACTACGTTCAATGTGTTGCCCTTCAGGTGATCCTTTTGCATAATGGTAGTACGCTAACGATAGAGTTTTGTGTGGATGGCATTTTCCGCACAAATGTTTTTCCAGCAATAAACTTCTCTTGGTTAGTCTGTGCCTGTCTGTGCTTTCTTTTGTAGGCCCGAGTACTCAGATTTGGGTGCACGTTAAAGAACCCCAGGTAGTCAAAATTTCCGGAGCCCTCCACTACGGCGTCTCTCATAATCATATGGTGGTTTTGGGACGTTAAACCCCACAAATCAATCAATCAATCATTCAATCAATGAATCAATCAATCATTCAATCAATCAGTCAATCAATCAATCAATCAATCAATCAATCAATCAATCAATCTGTGCTTTCTTTCGTTCTGAATTGCTCATGTCTTTTTGCACTAAATGCCATTCACAACGGAATGCCATTTCGCCTGCACTTGGTTCTACCAAGATATAGTGTTTACCTACGAGCTGAAGTTGTAAGAAACAGTTTCGCTGAAAAGCTTGCACACTTGCGGATGTTTCGAAGGTGTGTGACTCAACTTGTCTCAAAGTCCGATTGCCTTCGCGGCTTAAACGTAAACGTACCGTAAACTATTGTAGTGGTCGCACTTTTGTTCCCACAGTTTCGAAAAAGCGCGTCCCATCATAGAACGAGACCATTCGCTTCGACATTTTTCGTGCATATGGGGGCAGAATCCACCGTGATCCTCCATACCAAAGCATCACCACAAAAGGGAATGTAATCTTTTCGATGATACCTTCATTGATTCAGTTACGCACGTCACGCTCTTCGTTATCGTTCTCAGTGCCACTGTCTTTGACAGAGTTTGAGGGCGTACTTGTGTTTTATGTAATCTTCGGTGCCATCGATGGCAATGAACATTTCCGGTACGGATAAAAGACCTAGCTAGCAATTCTTTTCTATACATAACTTGCACGTGACGTCAGTTCCTGTCTTCCGGTTTTGCTATCGCAATGGCCGAGCACACACATCTCTGTCGCCCCGCCGTGTTTACGTTCAGGTGGCGGGTCGTTTGGCATAGTTGGTGTGTTTGCATCGTTTGTCTTGCCCGTATGGCTATGCAAAATCATGCAGCACATTGTCCTGCTTACATTAACGAACTTGTCAGGCCAACGCAGGACAGATACAGGGAAAATATAGCCCTGTGCGATGGCATGAATCCGTACGAGCTGTGGGTTTGTGCTCAAGCCGCCTTGGATAGAAGCCTGCTTTCGACGGTCACCCACGTCGACATTATAAAATACTTAGCACTTTCGACAAATTATGTTTCGCTTGACCAGATTAAAGCGTACAATTCGCTAGACTCTCACAATTATTTCCCTATGGGTCCGGTACATCACAGTCAAGATGTTGCCTTCTCATGGTGTTGTCGTACTTAGTCAGGTGAGTTTTAGTCTGTTTAGCCTCGGGGTAGCAGTGCTGGTTGGGGAACACGAATATTCCACGTCGCCTGCGCCGATAGCGTCGCAAGCACTGGGTCAAGCAGCTTCGCATGAGTCGCCTACAGCGGCGCTTGTCATCGCCCGCATTTTACGGCGCTCAAACGGTGCAGATTCTGACGCCGGCTGTTCCGGACAACCATGGCCCAAACACATGTTCGGCACCCAGTCAGGGTTCGTGTCATCGAAGAGGTTGGCGGGCCTTCCTGAAAAGCAAAGCGCGTTTGCTGTGTTCAATGCGATGCATCACCCTTCGACAGAAATTCCCTTCGCGCTTTACGAACCGATCCGCGGCGATTCACTGAGCGAAAATATGAAGGGATCCGGAACATAACTTGCATGTTAAGAAGGGACGCCCGCACACACGAACGTTGTTCAGTGTTTAGAGGTTCTTCCAATTGATGCTTGCAAGCGATGTCCTCCTTCGCCTCTCGAACAGCTCTTCTGTGCGGTCGCACTGGTGTTTGACTACCTTGGGCAAGCAAAAAAATCCCACGTCCTGTTCATCCCGGTACGATTTGCAGTTGCTTTGCACGCGGCAGCCAAATACCGCATGAATCGCCGTTGAGACGTACCGCGTTCACGAAAGATGCGAGTGCAGCACAGCTTAATTTGGTGTCGTCTGCTGCCATGTGCTCGACCATGGCGGCGCATGCCGAGATTGTATCCCAGAGTTTCATGGTGTGACGTAGGTGCAAGTTATGTATTGCTTCTCCACGACTCCTTATTCCTTGAAAGCTTTTACCTCCAGAATTTTTTCGGTAGCCGGCTCGAAGACTCGGCGCATGCATGCCTGCTTGTATACAATAATCACGATAATATTTATTTAGGAATATTATTTGGTTAATTGTGCCGTCAAGCTGCCAGTGCAGGCAAGGCGATTACCACATTCACCCTTTGCAGCATTTTCTTCGCTTCCATTGAACGAATAAACGAAAAGAACGTGACCAAATGTCACCTTTCCAGCCGTTCACAATGCAGACATTGAACGAGGTAACGAAGTAAGAAAAGCTGTACCGCTTTAAGATCGGTTACTACTTTAAGCCGGAAACATTTGCCGGCATCACTCGGCATCGAGCTGCCGGTGAAGGTTGCCGAAGCGTCCACTTCTGGATGATTTCGATATATGCTGCGTCAGCATCGACGCCGGAAGCGAGTCGATGGATGGAGAACCAATCAGTGCACGGCTGCCAGTGACTTCCGCCACGTAACAACCTCGTCGCTGCTGCCAAAACGGCTGCCGCTCGCCTCAGATGTATTAAGTCGTCGCCGCGCATTGCGTGACCCGAAAATTCTCAACTGATGCTTGTATTTGACTTAGCTTGTTTCCCAGAAGCTTTGACAGGAAGCGCTCGGGATTTTTGAACCGTTTTCGAGCGCCACACTCAAGTCCATCGGTAGGGTTAGTAGGTCTTAGTGTATTGACTGAATACATGGCCACAGAGATGTACAACTACTTTCAAGCTCAGAGGCCGGATGTTGCGAGTTTCTGGTTCTTCTTATTCTCAACAGCTGGAATTAAAGTAAAATAAAAAACTTTTTCGGTGGTACTGTGATTAGCTTTTTTTTTTACCTCAGAACTGCAAATAAGAATGGAAACTGATTTTCAGGAATATTTCTTGCTGCATCATTGACGGATACTGCACACTGCTTTGTGAGGTCTAGTGTTCATCATCTTTGACACATTGTGCAACGCTGAGCTGATGCTGGCCTTGGCACTCCTCACTGGGTTTGCCACCCTCTCTGGCGGCGTTGACGCTTAGAAGCTGAAGGAAGGAACGCCAGGAAAATGCTGGGAAAAACGCTGCACATGTTTCGGGCTTAAGAATAACTGTCAGCTACCCCCGCAGTCATCGCTGTCCCACACAGGAAATGTTTGCATTGGTGCACTGTCAAATCGTATTTTTTTTATTTTCGTCGTGTCAGACTCCTACATGCATTACGGAAATATAGTTTTCCCATACAGGCACATGTACCTGTCAATTTGGTTTTGGTCGAAAACTATACTTTCTGGCGAATTCCAGCAATGATTGCGATATTAGTGATTGGGGAAACGTGACATTTGGTGTCGTAATCACAAACATTTAATTATTATTACGCATAGTATTTACATTAGCAGCAAAAACGTTTGTATGGTTACAATGGAAAGCTCCATGCAGGACTTGAATGGCAGGTGCGCTGTAGTTTTAGGGGCTGAGCTTGTACTTAGGCGTGAAGAACACTCTTTGTTAGCCCACTGACGCGTCTCGCCTTTCTCGCCTGCAGGGAGCCCCTTCTCGCGCGCACTGCTCGCGTTCTCCATCCCAGCGAACGCGGCCAAGATCTTCAACACGAGCGGCCAGAAGGAGTATATTCAAGTCATTCACGGACTACGGTTCTTCAGCATGACCTGGATCATCCTTGGCCACACGTTTTCTTTCTCCACGCAGTGGATAACCTACAGTAAGTGTTGCTCCTCCTTCATTCAAACATCAACCCAGGGCTATCTCTGGTTTACGAAGGCCCGCTAATAGCTTAGCACGTCAGGCGTCAAACTGCCCAGCTTGATGCTAAGGGTTCTATACACCATCACAGCGATTAAGTTTCAAGGGGAGTGAATGTAAAGACACACTTATAATAGATGTACTACATACCTACATACTAGAGAATTCCAGGCGCTCAAAATTAAAGTATAACTTCGTCCGTGGTTGCTCTTTTGACTCTTCAGGAAATATGGACGACCTGCTTGTAATTCATAAGGACATCATAACCCAAGGACTAGCCAATGGTACGGTGACTGTGGACACGTTTTTCTTTGTAAGGTAAGTCAGTGGGAGGGATACAAATAATATTTTTTTATATAATATTTCGAGAAATGTGCACCATATGAGCCCCACAAAAAGAAATGACTTGCTTTTTTGAGCACAGCATGCATGACATCATGTATTAACACCTCAAGGTTTAATCTATATATTTCCCTGTGAACTAGATTACACGCAAGGTTTCTTCTGTTCAAGGCTTTTTGTTCCCACGATCGCATGACGCTGAAAAGCATAAAATCAGTGCCTCGTTGTGCACGGCTGCAAGCTCTCTTGTAGTTAGCTTTTCCAATAATCGGTCAACAGAAACAGGTGGGCGGAAACACCCGAATGGTTTTCTCAAGCGGCAACCAAAGCACTCCTTGAAAGATTAAATCGAGCGTGGCTAATTCTTTATAGCTCGACGCGGCTTTGGCAAATGATTCAGTGTTTTAAAATGTCGTAAAATGCCGCACTTTTGCGGCTTTTCAGCATAATTTTGTGACGTTTTCTTTTTTCAAGGGCTGAATGCACAAGTATTATCTTATGCGAGTAAATTAGTGATTTCTTCATACCACAGCAATGATGCTGTTACCATAGCTGTCATAAAATGTGCACCTGATAGTGCTGTTTTTTGTTACTCCTTTTTGTTGTTTTTTAGGAGAGGGCAGAGAGGCAACAGGCTCGTCATCGCGAATAAAAAAGTATTTGCGAATCGCGCGCTCTCTGATGGCTATTTAGTTTAGGCGTTATAACCAAAAAAATACGAATGTTAAATACGCGTATAGATGTTTTGACATTAAATTAAAAAAAAAGAAACTATGTTATTATGACATTTACAGCGGCCTTTTGGTTGTCTATGTGACAATGAAGCAGTTGGCAGCAAATGGCGGAAATGCAAGCTGGCTACAATTCTACATCCACAGGTATTGGAGGTAAGTCAAACGACGACACGCTCGTCAATTTACTGTCATTTTTTATTGATCGTTGAAACTATTAGTAAAGGAAGCGGGGGGGGGGTGCAGGTGTATATCTGTCGTAATCCATGAAATGGGCAAAGAAATGCAGGCGCAAAGCTTTATTATACATCTTTCATCTCACCTCTTCTACCGAGCCGACCCAGCAGATTTTATGAAGACCACATATTATCATTTTGCATGTTTCTAAATATCAGCGCTAACAGGATGGAACAGAAAATGGGAAGTACACAGTACGAGTGCTGGCTATCAACTGAAGTTTATTGAAACAAAAAACGAGAACAATGAAAACCAACTACGCACGCGCGGAGTGACTTTTAGCTGTTTCCTTAAACCACTGTGTCATTTTGGTGTACACAAAGACATGACACCATATTTTTTGAACGTATTAGCTGGCTCTGCCGTTTCAACCGGGGGAGATTTAGACTTCTTAATAAGTCTCTCAGACGCCGACGCAAGTACATGCATAGGTTGCCCAGCGGTTTTTAGGCTAACGACCCGCTGCTGAAAGCTCTAATGACATTTATGTGCGTAGGACTTCTTGAAGACAGGCTCTAAGGAGTTCATACCAATGTCATTCTTAATAATATTTAACCAGAAGAGTAGCTAAGCAGTGATTTTATCAAACGGGGGGCGACGCACTAGGAAACATGTTCACGTTGCAGAAACTTACATCGGCTCAAAAACTGCACGTAAATGTTTTTTGGTAATTCACAGGTGCAATTCAGCCCAAACATTTTAAGAAACTAAGGTGGGGAAAACACATTATTCTCTTTTACCACATCAATCTTTAAAATAACAATGCCGTCAAAAGGGACACAATCGTTTAAAAAAAGAATAAGAAAGTCGTCAGCGTAACGAAAGATTTTTACGACCAGACCACGAACTTCAAAATATACAAGCTTAGCCGATCATTATCACTCAGAAAAATTTCACTCAAAACGGGTGCCACCTGAGGGCCCACAAAGACACTGTACTCCTGTATAAAGAAGCTGCTTACCCATTTTACAGGGGTACCATGACGTAAATGCTCAATAGCTCTAGAAAACTCTTAGCAGAAACCTGGCTGCTGGTAACCAATGCAAGTTCAGGCATGGTCAACTGGTCATGGTCATGTGGGAGAGAATAAAACAAATCTACTGCATCCAGAATAAAATTTTCCCAGGGTCCGAGATTATCAATAAATAAGAGATGAACAACACCACATGAATATTGTGACTGTTATGCTCCATCCTGCTCATACTGATTTACAAACACTTATCGTTCGAATTTCAACGTTTTCTTGCATGTAACCTAATTGATTTTACATCAATTGGTCGTATTAAATATTACAGGCTTCTGTGCTTATCGTTAAAAATTAAAGAAAAAGTGGAATCAGCATGTGACCAGGGACGTAGTGTATAAAGAATCTTGACGGACACAGAGCGAACGATGGAAAAAGAACAAGGAGCTTTGTCGTTCACATTCGTTCATGTATAAACAAAAAATAAGGGCTGACTTGAGAGTTTCTTAAAAATACTACGTATAGTGAATTTCGCAGGCAGCTGAATAGAGAGATTAAGGGCATTCGTAATTGCATTAATTTAGTTGAGGATCAAGTACCTCGACAAAAAAAGTCAGTCAGGTGAAGCAATAAATGCGCCAGCAACAACTTGGAATGTAACACTGAGAACGAAAATCAGATAGGAACGTGAAGCACGTGACTCACGCACAAATGACGCATGAAAACAGCACACACATACGAGAGCCAACTATACTAAACACGTGTACAGCTCGACGCTTAATGTGTTGTTTAAACAAAAACGACACAGGAAACATGATCACAGGTACAGATATGAGTGCTAACAAGTGCCCCAGTTGTTACTTCGCTGAGTTTGAAAAGCGCGTTCTTTGCGAAAAGGGGCCTGCCCAAGGAGCGAAGTGATCTTTTTTTTTTTTGGCGCCCGGCAACTAAACGCAATCGTTCCGGTCAAAGTCGAAGGCGAACGATTCTCCCCCACCACAGGATAAGCGCACGGATAAGGCCCCCTTCTCTCCGAGGGGCGAAGCACGCGTGGGAGATGAGCGCGCATCGGCGCATCGGCGCATCGCGACGAGCTGGGCGTAGGCCATTACTCCGAGCGGGCCCATCGCGCCATCTCACTGGTAATGCTGAAACACGCTATTTCTCCTGTGGTATATATAAATAGCTTGCCGTTTCACCGTTGAAAGAGTTGCTCCTTTGTAGCTCAGTGGCTAACACCGCGCGCTCACGAACGAAAGGTAGAACGTTCGATTCCGCGCGCCGGAGTCTTTTTCTGGATTATTTTTTAGATGCGAACCAGCTCTTGGACTAGCCTGTGTGACGCGGTCCCTCCACCCGCACCGCTTCCCTCGCCACAGGTGTTGGAGCGTTGCCAAGTAGGCCACACCCTCTTAGCAGTGCACGGTGACGTCTCTCAATTTCGCCGGCCACGCGCTCGCCGCATCTCAGCTCCCTCTCGTCTCACCTTTTCCACCGCTCGCAACGCTCGAGCCCACTCCTCACGTGCGCATCATCTCACGCGCGCCACCTCCCTCCGTCTGTCAGCGAGAAGAAGCCGCGAGCCCGTGGGTGCGTGCGCTGCGCGAGCCTCGAGAATCCCACGGTGCTGACAATATGGACAGAGCGCCACTGCTTGCCGCACGATCGCGCCGACGGGTGTGATGCCATCGCGACAGGCTTCCCGCTAGTGTGCGCGTACCTTTCCCGGCTGCCGCCGGCGTTGCGAGGGTTAATGAAGCCAGTCGCGTTTGCGAATGGCGATGTCAACACCGATGAGGCGCGAGCCAGGGAATCTGGACGCAAGCGTCGGCAGTGGAAGACCGGTGACACCGACGAGGTGCGAGTCAAAAACACCGATCGCGTTCGAGAATACAGATGGCGCGCGAGTAACACCGACGAGACATGAGCCAAGGAAGCCGAGCGCGAGCCTCTTCATCGCGTCCCGCCTCCCAAGTCTTTGCGTTTGAAACAAACGTTTACTCGAATAAACGCTACACCGAGTGTCGCTTCAAACTGTTCTTCCAGCACCCGCGTCGACGCCTGTTTCAACCGGGTCAATGCCATGCTCACTACTGCTGCTTCGCATCCCATCAGGGTTTGCTTCGGGGACATGGTCCATAGTCCTTTGGACTTCACCTCCTGTTTGATGTCACACAGCAGACTACACGCAACAACACGTGTCTAGATATTGTGTTTGGTTAGAGTGTTGCGTCTCGAGTGCACTGCGTGCCATTGCCAACATACTTCAGTGACCACAAGGTGGTTGTCACTGTCATCGACTGAACTGTGTTTCATTTATATTCACCAATGTTTCTATCAAACTTCTATCAAAGATATTATTTGGTGCCTTTGTTTTGTACACGCCATGAAAACGTCATTTATTTTGCCATGTAGGTCTTGCATTACTATAATTCCGAGCACACCCGAAAGAAGGCCTCAGCACATATAGATGTGCTCTACACATAGCAAATTGCCACCAGTGGCGATAAACACCTGAGTACGAGCATGCACTGCCCACGGAAGGCGTTCCTCATCAACACCGTCACTGCGCATGAGCCTTGTTGTGGTCATCTACAGTGGCTGCGCCACAGGAAGCTTGGTTACTTAGCAAGCACATGTTTATTACAATTATTATTGCTCCTAAGAATGCTAGCCTTGCTTCGCAAAACATTATAATACGTTACTATCGCATTCACTGCTTCGCCCTTTTGGCGAAACTGACTTTTTCTGGATTATTTTTTGCTTGCGTTTTCATAAATATACATACGTAAACTAATATGATGGCTGACGTTGACGCCGACGCCGTCGGTAAAATCCTGCAAGAGTGTACATAGAATTTCTATCACTATAAAACTCTTGCAGTGCACTAAGTCTGCTGCATACACCACGCGTCACACTATTATTTCTGCTGCTCAGCACACGGGAAAGTGATCTGGTCTGTGCACGACACGGGCGCTACAATGTACGAGAGTTGCATTTGCAGGATGACTCCGCTTATGATGGCGGTGATTGCGTTCTGCGCCGTGCTGTTGCCATACTGCGGTGATGGACCACGCTGGAAGGAGTCCATCGCCACCTACGACCTTACCTGCAAGGCCAACTGGTGGGTCAACGCGATGTACCTGCAAAACTTCATCCACCGGACAGACATGGTACGCGGCACAAAAAACTAGCTCTAGATCCACTGTGAGAACTTTGTGTGACTTAGATGTGATGGATTAAGGAACTTATGGCAGTAGGCTAAGTGATTTGTGTTGGTAAAGACAGTGCTGTACATTCTTTGTACAATGACTGACTTCACTGCGAATGCCTCTCAAACTTTTTTGCCTAACCGTCGCCGTCACTAGGGCTTCGCCAATAACGCAAAGTAAAATGGTATTTTTACGAAGCCCTCTCTACCAGTGTTTCGTTCAATAAACTTTTCAACCTTGCTGCCTCGTGAGCTGACCCTCATAGATAGCCGAGTAATGAACACATTACGTTAACAATCTGATCACGTATTTTCCTTTACAATTCGAGCTATTAGAAAACAAAGAACGCCCGTGTACTAAACGTCTTGGCGATGAATGCGAAGAATAAATGAATAAATTGACAAGTAGCTAAATGAATACATAAACAGTACAAAGGAAATAACTTCACAAACTCCTTATAGATGATGTTTGGAATCAAAAAACTGCAACAAGTGATTGTGTATATTGCCGCACCCCTTCCTCAAGTCTTCTTATCACCCGGTTACGCTGTACGTGATTCTCAGCGCAAACCGAGCCTACTGTGTTCGAGAAGCTTCAGGGCTGCAGTAGATCCTTTTGTTGAAATTACGCCCACGTCGTGAGCATTTCAGATTATCCTGGAATCTACGTTGCCGCTAGCGATAATGCTAGAATGTTCCATGACGAGTGTATAAATGCCGACAAGCTTCGTCGCTTGTCAGTTGATCGACGACCGACGCTCAGTTTGCCGATATCAGTGCCATGTGTCTTGCCGTAATCTCAATTTCCTTTTTCGTGGCCACAAGTTCGGCTGAATAAACAGTTTTATCTTCGACCCACTGTCTGCTCCCTTTGTCGTTCTCACAACCCCGTGACATCTTGTGGAGGTTCTTCCTGATCCATGTACAACACGCCCCCTTCCAGCCATGAACTAAGTCCACGTCGTAGAGAAGACACCGACGCCAACCACGACCAGCGAGTCAGCCGTAGGCAACAAGATCTACCACCAGAGTATGGGCCCTTATCCAACAAGACTCGCACGTACAGCATGATGAACACTGCTGCAACGATTACTGCCACTGCGCCACTGCTTGCAGCTATTGTGATTCACCCACACCGAGAGCCACGAGCTTCCATGGAGCACCTAGTGAATACCCGGAAACCTGGCTTAAGACATACGACCGAGTCGCCTCCTTGAACACCTGGGACAACTAAGAATACCTACGCCGCGTATGCTTCTACCTAGAAGACGCCGCAGAGACGTGGTTCGAGAACCGCGAGTCCACGCTGCGAAGCTGGGATGTTTTTCGGACGACGTTTCTCCACACATTCACGAGCGTCGTCCGCAAGGAACGGGCTGCGAATATCTTGGAGACGCGTGTACAACTCCCCAACGAGAACGTCAGAATCTTCGTCGAGGAGATGACCCGGTTGTTCCACCACGCTGACTCCACCATGACCGGGGACAAGAAGGTCGGATTTGTTATGTAAGGTGTTAAAGCAGAGTTGTTTGCGGGGCTTGTGTGCAATCTACAGAAGACGGCCGAAGAATTTCTCACCGATGCTACAACAGTCAAGAAGGCACTGGCAATGCGCACAAGGAAGTATTACCGCCACTCTTGTACACTACTCCGAGGCTCATCCCCTCAGCAACGGCGACTTGCACGAGATAATCCGAGCGATTGTGCGGGAAGAGCTGCGCAAGCTATTACCTTCGCTTCAGCCTCAAGTTATTTCAATCGCCGAAATTTTGCGTGAAGAAGTTCGGTGATCGCTTGGAATGTCCGAAGCTCCGCAGCTCCAGCCGCAAGCGATGAGCTACGCTGCTGCAACCTGACGCTAGGCTCGACGCTAGGACGATGCCTTTTTCAGAGGGGGTCAATGCCATGCCCTTGCCTCAAAATTTTCTTATCACCCCGCTACGCTGCACGTGATTCTCAGCCTAAACCGCACCTACAGTGTTCGAGAAGCTTCAGGGCTGCCGTATAGATCATTATGTTGAGATTAAGCCTACGTCATGAGCATTTCAGACTATTCTGGAATCTACGTCGCCGCTGGTGACAACGCTGGAATGTTCGTTGACGAGTGTATAAATGCCGACACGCTTCGTCGCTTCTCAGTTGATCGAGGACCCACGCTGACTTCGCCGATATCAGTGCCAGTGTCTTGCTGTAATCTTACTTTATTTTTTTTGTGGCCACAAGTTCAGCTGAATAAACAGTTCAATCTTCGACCTACTGTCTGCTCTCTTCGTCGTTGTCACGACCCCGTGAGAATGTATAGGTATGGCAAAGTTAGAATGCGCCGTTGACTTTGTTAACAAAGAATTTTTCAAGTAACGTAAGCATCAAGGTATGCTTACGTTTGCCGAAGGGTATAGATGTGTGAGGACACCGAGATGGACTAAACAGCAAGCCCACTAACGTTGAGCAAACATGAAGTCAGCTGATATACCCCCTGCGCTTACGTTCTTTCAACATGAAATATGTAGTGCAGTATGACACAAAAAATAGCTGTATATATTTCATAACTTGCTAAGTACAATGTATAAGTCACAGAGAGTTTTTTTAAATTGATCATGTCGGGTTCACTGCCCCAAACGTTATGCCCCAATACAAGCACGCCGCCTTTGACAGCGGATATTCAATTCTATTTCAAAGTATGAAACCAATCCAAGAATTAGGTTACCAGTCCATTACAGTCTTTGTCCCCCCATCTTCATGGGTATAGGTACTCGCAGGTGCTCGATGTTTTGTGCTTGTCACGTTATAAATATATGTATGCCTGATAACTCTGAATGCTCAGTGTTTTTTCAAACGTTAATAGAAGAATTATAAAGCTTTACAGGTGTCTAATTATCCAATGAAAAGCATCACAGCGTGTTCGCACACAGACTCCGCAAAGACAGTGTGGGGGAGCTGTCCACTGAAGCTTCGATGTTTTCGTGGCCTCATACAGGTAGCCTCACAGACTGCAGCAATGTTCTTCCTGCGTCAAACGCTACGATTTCGGCTTAATGGCAATGGAGGTGTACATTCTCCACTGGGACACGCGTGCCCTTAACTGGGTGTTGGCGGTGCGGAGGATTATTTGTTCATGGGACATGCGATTTTGTTTTCGGATGCTTCAATTTCTCGACATTACTAAACGTGAGACGACAGCACACGGCGCTGTTGACTGCCAAATAATACATTAGAACAACAATGTGAACTATAGGTGTCAGAACTTAAGATCTTGTCAAAAGTGCACCAAAGATTCTTTGTATAAGAAAAACGCGTCTTAGCGTTAATCGCAGTAATGAAAACGCGTCGCCACATTAAGTTCCCCCTTGACTAACTTTTGCGTGAACTCACAACTTGAGGCCTTTGCAGTCTCAGTTCATGCATAACACTTTCAATTATAATCTCTCTTATGTGTTATCAATGCCCCAAGAAATATGTGTCGTAAATGAAGAAAGTTCAGCAACTTTCTCATTAAAATTTGCTCTTTTCGGCGTTTCTGCCATTGTAGTTTCTTCTAAACACGATTCTTTATTCCGGTTGCTTTCTTTCAGTGCCTCAACCACACCTGGTACTCGGCTGTGGACTTCCAGTTTTACATCATATCACCGTTCATAATCATCGCTCTGTACAGGTAAGACTTGGATTCACCATGTGTTGCGGGAGGTTTCACGCTAAATACCTTCTGGTGAACAAATTTTGTGAGGGCCACATCTCTAGCAGGGCCACTAGTTTGAATGGTAACGCTGCAACCATTTCGCTTGCATGCCAGGCCATGGTTACCAACAACAACAACGCCCCACCGTGGTGGTCTAGGGGCTAAGGTACTCGGCTGCTGACCCGCAGGTCACGGGATCGAATCCCCGCTGCGGCGGCTGCATTTTTGTTGGAGTTGAAAATGTTGTAGGCCCGTGTGCTCAGATTTGGGTGCACGTTAAAGAACCCTAGGTGGTCGAAATTTCCGGAGCCCACCCCTACTGCGTCTCTCATAATCATATGGTAGTTTTGGAACCTTAAACCCCACATATGAAATCAACAACAGCAACAACAAAAGGGCTCTCCACGTGAAAAAGATGGCGCGTATGCGGTGCTGTGTCGTTCCACCGTGATGGGGCACCAGCTTCTTGACGTTGGGCGGCGCTTTGATGTGCCGTCAACACTTGTCATAAATAACGACGCCAACGTTAATTATACGTCACTTTAGAGTATTTATGATCACATCAATGGTTGTCAGACAAATACCTGTACAGTAGACTTTAGATGTTACGAACAAGAATCGGGCCCTGCCGTGGTGGTATAGTGGCAAAGGTACTCGGCTGTTGACCCGCAGGTCGCGGGTTCGAATCCTCGTGGCGGCGGCTGCATTTCCGGTGGAGGCGAAAAATGCTGTAAGCCCATAGGCTCAGATACGGGTGCACGTTAAAGAACCCCAGGTCGTCGAAACCTCTGGAGCCCTCCACTACGGCATCTCTCCTAATCAAATGGTGGTTTTGGGACGTTAAATCTCGCATATCAATCAAGGAACAGGAATTTGGTTTTACCTGGTCGTACGACTAAAGCGTCGTCGTAGGCGCTTGGTCAATAAAAAGTTTGTCATCATTTTTATGGCGCCATATCAGGGCATCCATGCAGTTGTCCGGAATGCTTTTTGGTCTTCTGGTTATAGTGCGTACAAGCCATTGGCCATATACTGGGTGTTACAGCCACCATGCAACACGATAAAAAAAAGTAATGGCGTTAGTTGAAGAACCCTTAGTATATATAGTTTGCAATGTACTGGAGTAGCAAGTGTCACTTTTATCTTTTTCCTTATTGAGTTTAAATAATTGGCCATAACTATAATTGTAAGTGTACAAGTACTCACCTAATTATCATAACATCAATGAGCCATATGTAGGTATGTTCAAATGGCACCTAACAGTGCTATTTTCAACAACGTATTTACTGCGCGCTAATTTTTTTCCAGCCGATAACAAAAGCCCGCGAGGTACAAAAAATAACGCATGACTACGCACACATCTACAAAAGTAAGCAATGCCCTGATGTAGGTTTATTGGTAGCAACCACTTCGCCTCTTTTTCGTTGCCAGAGAGAAGTGTTTCGCACTTAGGCAAGGTTACAGGTAGGCCACGGACATGTGTCATAATTTTGAAGGGATTCATACTGCTTGATTGTACATCACTGTTATTATCCTCACCTCACGGCTGACTGTTCGGATTGGTAAAGCGGCCGCAGCTATGTTCTAATTACGACCCCTACAACCAAAGCGGCACGTTTCTTTTGGCAAGGCATGATATATAGGGAGATCCACATATATATGTATTTTTTCTTTTGTACTGAATATTTCACATTGATCCTGTTTGAGGGCACAGCGTACTGATGCGTGCAACAGCAGATGGCAGTTTTCATATTTCGAGGGCTTTCTTTATCAATCGGGAAAAAATGAGCTTTTAATACGTGGTTGAAATAGCCCAGTCACATGTCAACTGAACATGCCTACATAATTCCTCATTGACATTTTAATAATTCACATTTTAATATTTGGTAAGATATGGTATTTATTGTAACCTCATTAACAAGAATATAGGTGGCTACTGCAGTGGACTGATAATGATATATACTAGGTGTGCTTCGCGTGGCGCCGTTCCTCTTTTTTTTTTTAAATTGTGCTGCCTGATAGCTCGGACACCCTGCATACATGGACGTCTTCTTCACTTGGGACTCGGAATGATTAGCCATAGCAGAGCGTCGGTGTACGAATTTTCCACTTCGAATATTACTTTGCGACTCACGCTGCTCTAATGTTATGCAACGCTTGCCATTTTCCAGGCGACCGAAGCTGGGATTGTTTCTGATTGCTCTGGGGCTGTGTGCAACGGGGATCTTCACGGCTTCCTATACTGCCTTTCACGACTTGCCAGCAGCGCCGTACATGTCATCCATAACGTACGTACACATAGACATGCTTTTGAAGGTGGCGCTATTTACAACACTGTGCGCACTCGATAGAGCGTATCAGATGATTGATTTTCTGTTTGAGCACAGTGGCCGTCAGTGCATGGTGCTAATAGGCTGGCAGGCATAGTTTTGTACACGAACGCAACACATTTGCGCATGAAACTGACGAAGGTCACTGTTGCTGTTTATACTGAGAGTCACGGTGTGAATTTGTAGTCGATAATTATGCGTAAACTGTCCTGAATATTCTGAGCAAAAGTTACCAACCTCGGGTGAATAACGTTGGAAGCTTCAATACCTAAGCCCATCCGACTATACTGTGTCCTGATAATCACTTAATAGTGCCCCTCTGGACTGGCTGCCATAGCAACGCCTGCCACTTGAGCTATATAGAGTTACAGTGTAATCAGCAATAAGTTTGTTCGACTTCCTTTTCTATTTTGAAATTAATATGATTACTTATGAGATCACTTACACTTTGTTGAAATTGACGGTCACTCGTCTGATAGTGTGGAAGTGATATCCGGTGCTCCACAGGGTTGTATTCTGGCTCCAGTTCTTTATTGAATCTTCACGAACGAACTATACGTGCTAGTATACATGTCAATATCAGATTGTTCGCAAATGACTGCATTATCTATAATTGAATGAACATGCATGAAGACCACCTGGTCTTATTCTCGAGCCTGTTTTCTTCATATTCACAGGATACTTATCACACCTATTGTGCGTTTTATTTTTAACTTGTAGTTGTCCCTGTATCATAAGTTGTGCAATATACAACTACTCTACAAGCCCTCCTGCAATGCTGCTTTTGGGATTTGGAGTATCTACATGTAAATAAATAAATAAATAACCTCTTATTTTTTCTGGAGAATAAGAAACAGCTTGATTAACGCACCTGTCAAAATGACTCTTTCAATGATAGCACTGTCGTATTTCTTTCTGTGTGCGAAAGTCTTGAATACGTTCTATCTTGTTATGTTCTATTTGCCTTAATATGGAGAGCGGACAGCGTCGAAGTTAACGCCGTGGAAAAACATTTGCATCCACGTTATTTTGTAGCTACACCGAGAAGATAATCTCGCTACAAGTAAACATTTTGTCGCATTTTGCGAATTTTCCTAGTGGTGTTAAGGTGCGCGACGACTGCAAATGCGGTAACAGCGATGCTGGCGCTCGTCTTGTCTTTTTAGACCCATCGAGAAGATGAACTTCTTCATGGGCTACGTGTACGTCAAGCCGTACTGTCGTATAGGCCCGTTCCTTATCGGCATGACAACGGGTTATATACTTCATCGCACGCAAGGGTCGATTATTATCAGAAAGGTAAGCATTCTAGTGGCTAATACGGGATTTCAGAACAAAAAAGAACTATTTTACCCAAATGAATCGAACCAGCCTTAACTTTAAAAATACATTTGCACAAACGGTTGCAATATTTACCCTACTTTTCAAGCCCACTAGTCAATACTGCCACGTAGAAAACTGTGTACCGAAGAATGGGCTCGTTCAATTAAAACTGTACATTAAATTCGGGTAACACAAGCTAGCCTTATGACAACCAGCTGCTTCCATGCAGCTTTTTATGCCGTGTTTCTTTTCCTGTGCTTGTGCAATACTTCCAACACGAAACTTGATACTCCGGTCAGTGCTTCACTCTCGAAAAAAAGACTGCCGGCACCTGATTTATGTTTGCTACGTGACAGCCTCCATCAATTCTAGACTGATAATTTGCCCTTTAAAAATAGTATTATTGTTATTTTACTTAATTGGGGACGAAATAATCTCTAATTTTTGAATTTCGTTTGTACTTTCAGTCTGTAATTGTCAACATGACTTTACACAATCGAATCTACCATGAGGTATTTTAGCCATTGTTCAGAAAAATAAAGGGAGGTGGTCCTGAAACTTGTTGCATTATGTTACAGGCTCCCCTAGAGGGCAATAAAAATTAAGTTGATTTTTACAAATAAACAATAGCATGCGTCCTACTGGACACCATCGAAATTGATGAAGTCGTCCTCTGTCGACTCCTGTATTTTCATTTTGTGCGTTTCCTGGCTTACTGAAAGTCTCCTCTCGGCGTTTCGCATTCTCAATGCGCAAAAAGTTGACAATAAAAATAAAGGTGGCTCCAACGACAGCACGTGTTAGAATATTCTCGGTTGATTCACGTCGTTCTCATTGCCTTAACTCAGTCTACTTCTCTTCGTTGTTTGATATTCTTCGCGTTTCACTGATGACAACCATAGCTTGATGCATAATTTTTGCCTTATGCGACCCGCTATTCATTTAGTGTTATGTGCTCATATTTTTTAAGCGTCGCTAATGTTCACATGTCTATTTAACAAGACAGCTACCGGTTAGGGCATAGTACAAAATCTTGTCATTCGATTACATTGTATAACAAACCGTGGAATGACCTGTTGAGCTGATGAGGTATGAAATTCCTAGTGCCAACTTCTATGCATATTGATCTAGTTCTGTGAGAGCAGGTGTTGCTATAGCGACCAAATAGAGAGATTAAGATAGCCAGAGAGAGAGCAATAGAAGCCAAACAGATCGAAGTTACCACCAGTACCACAGCGTGTATGGATGAAAAGGGTAAACCTCTGTGTTTCCATGCTCCTTCGCTGTGTACCTGCATTAAAGACGCCGAACAAACCACTGTTCGCAGCGCTACCGGTGGCTGGGATGGATGACGTGCGCCACTCTGATGCTTGGCGTTCTGTATGCCATGTGGCCGGCCAACACTGGCCAGTACGCGCCCTCGCGTGCTTGGGCGGCCATCTATGGAGGCTTCGCTCGTACTGTGTGGGCTCTCGGCTTGGCGTGGATCATCATAGCCTCGGTTGCTGGCTATGGAGGTATGTCGCTTCCACCAATGGCGGACTCCAGGTCGTACTAACTGAAGCCTGTAGTCATAGTGTGACCTGTGGAAGAATTTCGATTGCATATTCCAGGAGGCGCTGACTATAATAACAAAAAAAAAACTTTTGGAATGCTTCTGACGTCCTCATTTAGCGTTTCACGTTTTCAGACCGGTAAAACATGTAGGGGAATTTCTAAGGGCTTCGCCGTGGACTGCACTTCCTCACGAACCAGAAGTAGTTCGACTGTAACAAATCGCGAACACGACTCGCGAAATTCGCTCTTTGGCGTAAACGCTGCTCCGTGTATCGATCGGTAATTTATGTTTTTGTTCACTATGAGTAGTTGTGACTACTTTATTTCCGCAATATTTTCGTTTTTCTAATGCGCAATGGTTGGCACCACTCTTAAAGTAACGTTCGTGCACTGTAGAGTTCTTTCGTACCATTTTTGTACTAGAAATGGCCACAACCACTCGTAGTACCCGCTTTGTATTTGTGCAAGAGGACCGTGAAACACCCATTGAATCACGTTACCGATAACACATCTTTGACAGTTTACGTTGAAAGGCGACTAGCGCAAGAAAAGGAGGAAAGAAAAAAAAAGTGAAAACGTAGAGGAAGTTTAGAAGTGTTAGGGTAGGTTTCGCAGCAGAGTGCGATTTTGCGCATGTTGGTGCATAGCTAAAGAGAATATTTCTATTGCAACTAGACAAGGAATGAAAAAAAAAAAACGAGAGGGCACCAGGGTTACAACTAGTTGGTTTTCCGCACAACACCTAAATGTATATGTTTCCAGATATGCGCACGCGGAGAGCACGCAGCACAAACAACTACCACGCAGCAAAATGAAAAAAAAAACAACTCTCGCACAGCGCTATCTTAAAATTTACATTCACTCCTGCACAAAGAGATCGAAGCGATCGAATTAAGTTTTCAAGTACAAAATACAAGACTGGTTGTTGCAGGCTTTCCTTCGGCGAATAACCAGTCTGTCCGAATCTCTGCTTAGGTAGCTTACAGGCACCTGCAAGCATGGAATGGATTCAGTAAAGTGGCTCATTGCTTCACGAATGGACCACCGCGAAATTTTTTTTTAGGATTCGTTCAGTACGAGTGCAGTTACAAACATCTGTCGTGCTCTGAAATCGCTTTCCCTATTCTGTTGCCCCTATGAAGGCGCTTGAGAGATGGCACGAGAGAATAAGGAACGCCACGCGCGCCTTGTGACCTTAAGAATTTTTTCTTTATTTTTTTAACGAGCGGCATTTCAATGTTTTTGCACGTGGTCACGTGAAAACGTAGCGGCCTCCCGCGGCGGCCCCTGTGACTCCAGAGCGCGCCATGCTCAAATCAGCCATCGTACTGATACTCTGGCCAGCGACGCAGCAATTTTTGTGTATATAGCATCATTTGTCGAGAGTAGAGAAAGTGATTTATAGCTAGCTTTGAAGATTCATTGTTAATTCTAAGCCACGTGCTGCGCTATAATGATTGCCTCGTGTGTTCTCAAAATCCTCGATTATCGATCACAAGGTTTTCTGACCATGCTCGAAAAGTGTTGTAGGGCCCTTTTAAAGGATGCAGCTGGCAGGCCGAGGCCGTGAAGAAAAAGAGATCGCTGATTCTGACCTACGTGCATCAGAGTGTCAACAATTTGAGGGGGGAAAAAAGTTGCTGACAAGCATAGCTCTTGTTAACAAGGTCTGGAAGCTTTGTTCTCATATTTCATTTCAAAAAGCCAAGCTTTCATGCAAAAATAAGAACGCCTGGTCAGTTTTGCTCTGTATGGTGGGTACTGTTTATGAAATCCACTTGAGCTGTGGCAACTCGTATATAGGCCAAGCAGTTCAAGATCGTTTAAAGGAGCTCGTATTATCTATTAGGAATGATGTGGGTTCACACTTGCTGTTTAGTTGTGCTTCGGGCGGCAGTGCACCAGTGTTTGGATAAACTGGTGTGATATGCCGAATCAGGGAAATGTTAGCACGTTAGGTACTTGAGGCATATCACATAAAGAAGAAGGGCGATGGATGCGATGGTGTCCTTTCCTTTGTACGTCAGTGGATGTCAAATTTTAAATAGCCCTGTGCGATAAATTTTTTTGTTTTGCGATGTGACAGTTGCTTGTGCTGCACACTCTCTGCGTACACATATACTTAAGTAATGTGCAGAAAATAAACTAGTTGTAAGTCTGGCACCCTATCTCGTTTTTTTCCTTCATTTTCTCAGTTACGCCCTGAATGTTTTGCTAAACAGGTTGCGTATTCTATATTTTTTTTTGGATTTTCAAGGTCTGAAATTTCAGCACATCCTTTACGCAGGTGTGGTGGGCAAAATTCTTTCGTGGAAAGCTCTGGTGCCCCTGAGCCGGTTAACCTTCAGCGCGTACATTATACACCCAGTGCTTATGGTGATCTTCTACGGCTCCAGGGAAGAGAGCTTCGACTACTCCACGTATTTACTGGTGAGTAGTCAGTCATGCGCGTGAATTATCGTGCTCTAGCTATGTTTTTGCCAGAAATAGACACTTGGAATAAAATCATTTTGACAATATCGCCAAAGGAACAACAAGAAAGACAAGGCAGGGCCACCTGTGGGTTCAAGAAGCCACATCTTTTTAAACAGTGCCCCACCGCGGTGGTCTAGTGGCTAAGGTACTCGGCTTCTGACACGCAGGTCGTGGGGTCGAATCACGATGCGGCCACTGCATTTTCAGCGGAGGTGAAAACATTGTAGGCTCAGATTTGGGTGCACGCTGAAGAACCCCAGGTGGTCGAAATTTCTGGAGTCCTCCACTGCGGCGTCTCTCATAATAATATGGTGGTTTCGGAACGTTAAGCCCCACATATCAATAATCTCTTTAAACAGCGTAGACACTGCACCTAAAATTCTTGAAATGGCATTGAATCAAGTGCTTTTCGCCAGCATACGGTCACTCGTTTTGTTTATGAAAATATGTTTACTCGTTATTCAGATTACTATTTACCTTTATTAGCGAACAAAACTGAAGCCCTTGCACAACAGGCCCTTTGACATTCGAACCATACAAGCCCAATTCGAAGGATTGTGTATTATCCTCACGGAGACTACATGTATTTACCTGCATTTATCCAAATACCTTGCCCAAGGAGTGTTAGCCTGCGCCACTCATAGCCATGGTTGCAGATGTGAACTACCCATACGTCTGTGCTTGCGCATAAGTCTGCGCCACCTGGGCTTGTCTTGTTAGTTCATTTAATGTTACATTGTCTCTTTCGAAGCCAAATGGTCACTCACGGTTTCTGGACATTTTTTTAGGTTAGGAGCTTTTAGATACGGTTTTAAGCAGAAGGTGATGTGCTGTAGAAAGTGATTTTCGATTAAAATAATATGTCGTCAGGAATGTCAGATGGCGTTATAAAAATGGTTTCATTTCAATAATTCACAGACCATTGTGTTCTATAATATACGAGGCAGCCATTCGTCACTTGCACGTGAATTTATACTCACACAATGGCACTTGATGAAATTTACGAACGCACGTCTTAGCAAATTGCATACAAATCTACAGCTCTGTCTTCCGACGCGAGTAAAGAGAACTCAAGTGATGCTCCTGTATCACCTGTGGCTCGGGGTTGCCTTCACAAATGCTTACTTGTTTGTCATCGGAATGACCTGTCATGTGGTAATTGTAGTTGAGAAGAGATAATCGCGCTCATTTCATTGTGCAAAAAAAAAAGAATAATCATAGGTGTGTGATAGACTCCACAATCACCCTATGTAGCAGGAAAAGGTCTCACTGGCCGAAACTATCCTCAGCACGAAAAACTTTGAGAGCGTTGTTGCGTTTTCACGGACAACTAGTCTCAAAAAATTTATGTGGTGTCGTCTATTGTATTATTGTTCTGTCCGTTTTCCTCTTCATTTCTTGGTGTAACTTTTCTTTTATATCATATTATATTCACTTTACACATTTTCCCAGCACAGAGTAGCCAGCTGGTAGGCGAACTGGCTAGCCCTTCAGTTTTTTTTATCCTTCTCATCCGTCATAGGCGAAAACGGCAAAAAAGAGGCACGAACTCGCTAATACTATCCTTAACAGAGCCAACGCCATTAGAAATATAATAGCTTTTGTAAACACATTTTCACCGAAAGGGCGAAGCACTGGATGCGAGAGCAACATATTTCAATGCTTTAGGAAGCAAGGCTGTAGCATTTTAGAAGCAAAATATTTGTAGCAAATATACGGTTGCTAAAGTAACCAAGTTTTCTGTGGCATGGTCACAGTAGCTGGCCACAGTAGATGACCACAACAAGGCTCTTGCGTAGTGACAACGTTGATGGAAAGCGCCTCCCGTGGGCAGTGTATGCTGGTACTAAGGGCTATACGTCGTGTGTCGCCGCTCGTGGCACTTTGTTATCGGTAGAGTGCATCTATATGTGGATGGCTGCTCCAGGTACACTTTTGGCGCCGTTTTTTCGTGTTGGGATAACAGCCCGTAAAAGCACGAGCCACGCGCTCATAGCTGCGCGATAGCGCGGCAACTATATGCCCCCCCCCCCCCCTTGTTCGTTCACGAGATAAGCGCGCTCGCAGACGGCCCCGTCCGGAAAGGCGATGTTCGCTCCGTATATAAGGAGGATAGCGCATCTTTCTCCGAATGATTGATATGTAAGGTTTAACGTCCCAAAACTACCATATGATTATGAGAGACGCCGTAGTGGAGGGCTCCGAAAATTTCGACCACCTGGGGTTCTTTAACGTGCACCCAAATCTGAGCACATGGGCCTACAACATTTCCGCCTCCATCGGAAACGCAGTCGCCACAGCCGGGATTTCATCCGTCGACGTGCTGGTCACCATGGTCACCAGCAGAGTACCTTAGCCTCCAGACCGGCGCGGCAGGGCAACCTTTCCCCTTACTATAAACACACACACACGCACGTACGTGTGTGTGTGTGTGTGTGTGTGTGTGTGTGTGTGTGTGTGTGTGTGTGTGTGTGTGTGTGTGTGTGTGTGTGTGTGTGTGTGTGTGAGAGAGAGAGTGAATGACGGTAGCGGCGGCGGCAAAAACCAGCTGAGACGGTCCATATAATTGCTATCACAATAAAATTTCCATTGCCGAATTAAGAGGAGGTGCTGCAGCGCCTCGCGAAAACTAAGCTATTATCTTCTCTACGACAGCAGAATGACGTATGCATAACCACACGAGGTCGTTAAGTAAAGTGTATTCACCTATAGTGGAAAACATCATAAAAAAATGTCATACCTCACGTACACTGGGAATCGATGATATGAGAAGCATGAATGAGGAAGGTTGAATTGTCACATAAAAATGAGCACAAAGTTACGAGGCGAACGTAAATTATGCCGTATATGACTTCTATGTCATGATTATCATGGTTGCGCCTGTCATTTGTGTTGTCTATTCACGTCACGTAACACCAAATTTGGTGTATGTGAAGCTAGTGAAACGGCCGAGAGCGCACTATGAGCGTGCATGCACTGATGTTTTACGTGACATGCTTGTTATGATTGCCACGTTGGGACATGTCATTTACTTTCGACACCCATTGACGTCACATAATACCAAATTTGGTATATAAAAAATTGCTCCCCGAGTGCACTACGAAAGGAGCAGGTTGATATGTTTTACTTGAAAAGTATGTCATAAATATCAAGTTTGAACATGTCATTGACGTTTGTCGTTCGTTTGGATCACTTAATAAAAATTTGGTATTTGTGATACTAGCAAAATGGCCACAAGTGCGCTATGACCGTAGCATGTAGTCATGTTTTACATGACACGCATAACATGATTATCATGTTTAAACGTCTCATTTACCTTCATCATTCATTCATTTCACATAATTACAAGTTTGGTATATGTGAAGCTAGTGAAATGGCCAAGGTATATGTAAAGTGGTAACGTAAGTTCCATTGAAGCCCATGGATCGAGTAGTTGGCGACCGCTAGTGGTGTCGCCATCTACGTGAGGAGGGGGCAACTAACAGCTAACAAAAATAAAAAATGAATAATTATGATGTCACAACCGCAAGCCACGTCGCGCGTTTGCCCTACATGGCGCGAAATTCAAAATTTTCCTTATTGCTAACCTTTTACGAGCCGTTAATAATACCCAATGTCAATATGTCTTGTGCCTCGCTAATTGCATGCGGGAGAAAAAAGAAACATAAAAGCAAATATTTACGAAGCAAAGTTGTTTTAGAGCCAAATGACGTAGTTACAATATGCACAAGGAACTTCATGAGACAAATGTTCACGAGCACAATACTCTTATAGTTCGAAAGCTCACGTTGCCCAATTGTCAAAAACTACTGCAGTGAATACATAGCTTTGGCAGCCTTGGAGTACAGAGTCTCGTTGCTTAGCGTGTCGTGTTGACCGTCGCCAAAGGCGAGGGCACGCGCTGGCCGTGCGCCAGCGAAAGCAGTCGGCTGTGACTGGAGCGGCTATCTACACATTCTGTGAGCTTGTTGAGCTCTGAAATGTCACATCATAAAGACCACATAAAAATAAGTAAACTACTGAAGGTACGTACGAAACCATCACAAAAAAGTGAGTGATGTCTCATTGACCTGAGAATGCGCTCAATCAAAGAACACGCCGAACAAAGCACGAGCTCTGATAGCAAATTGCCTGTATATGCCCCGCCCCCATTTGCCTGTATATGCCCCGCCCCCATTATGGCACTCGACGAAAAATTGAGGCAATTAATCATTTAGCCAGGTGTGAGATACACCATTAAGTACGTTTATAGTTAACTTTAACATACATAAAATTACGAATATTTAAAGAAAAATTTCTATTGAGTTTTTAGTTTTGGTTGTTTGCCCCTCCTCACCTAGTCACGCTTAAATCGTCGGTGGGCGTTTATGCCTGTGGCAATAGGTTTCCGACAGTTTTCGTTCCAGGTATAATGACCCATATTATTTGACTATGAAACGGTTGCAAACGCATGAGTGTATTATGTAGTCATGCTCTCACATGACACGCATGTCAAAATTATCATGTTTGCACCAGTCATATACCATCGTTATTCATTCACGTCACGTAATACCAGATTTGGCTTATGTGAAGCTAGCGACATGACCACGAGCGGACCGTGAGCGTGGCGTGCAGTCATAACTTACATGATTTCTACGTTAGGTCCCGTCATGTTTGCCATGCAGTCATGTCATACCATACCAGTTTTGCAATATTTCATGAGAACGAAACCGCCGCAAGAGCAGCAAGACCATGAAATGTAAATAACGACAATCATGACATACTTGTGACGATTTTTAAGTTATGACGTCACTTTTGCTCGTCATGCAGTGATGTTATGCCATACCCTTTTTGTAAAGATCCCATTATCAAAACGGCCAGGAGAAATAAAAGCTGTAGATAGATAGATAGATAGATAGATAGATAGATAGATAGATAGATAGATAGATAGATAGATAGATAGATAGATAGATAGATATAGATAGATGGATGGATGGATGGATGGATGGATGGATGGATGGATGGATGGACGGACGGACGGACGGACGGACGGACGGACGGACGGATGGATGGATGAATGGATGGATGGATGGATGGATTCCAATGTCGCCGAAGTTCGCTAAGAAATGCCTCGCATTTGGAACATACATAAAACATTGGGACTGTATCAATCTTCAGTGACAATCGTCGATCGGCAGTGTATTATAGAAATTGAACACTTTCTAAATACCGAGTAACATTCCTAACGACATAATCTTTTGATGGAATATCATTTTCTACAGCGCATCAGCTTCTGATTAAAACCACTCCTAAAAGCCTCCAAACTTCTCCAGAAATGGCGTGCTTCCATTGAAAATAATTATTGCGATGCGAAATATATGAACAGTCTCGGTTGCTTTTTTGCCATCGCTACCACCGCCGCCATCGTTCACCGTTTATGTATATATCTACATGTATGAACACTCGAGAAAGAAAAACAAATCAGCCCGCGCGCGACGCCCAGCTCGTCGCGATGCGCCTACACGCGCATCTCTCTGACGCGTACTTTGACCCGTTAATTGGGGGGGGGGGGGATGAGGGGGTTAAATGCTTGTGCGCGTGCGCTTTTCTTTCGGTGGGGAAAATCGTGCGCCTTAGGCTTTGGCTGGAACAATTGCGTGAGTTGCCGGGCCCACAAAGGTCACTTCAGTCTCTTCACAGGCCCCATTTGTGAAATGAGCACGCTTTCCATACACAGCGAGGTATAACAACTGAGATACTTGTTCAGTTTGCACTCATCTGTACCTGTGATTAAGTTTTGTGCATAGTTTTTCTTTAAACAGCGCGTTACGTGTCCAGCAGTAAACGTTGCTAGTTCGCTCTCGCCTGTGTGTGTTGTTTTCACGCGTCATTTGTGCGTGAGCAGCGCGCTGCACGTTCCGATCTGCTTGCCATTCTCAGCGTGACATTCCAAGTTGTTGCTGTTGCATTCATTGCTTTGCTCTTGCGGTGAAACTGTGACTTTTTGGCTTGTTTTCCTTGGTCGTTGCTGTAATGAAGGCCAATTATTAATGACCTTATTCGTGGTCCTGTGTGCTAACACTTAAAAAAATAAAAGAAGATACAAAAATATGGGCTTCATGTGTTCATCTGAAAGGTCGAGCTCATCTTTTCACCAAGCTCTAATTCTTAACGGGTTTTATTGGAGAATCGGTGCACTGCCTGTGGGGTGTGAACACCAATCGCTTTCCCTTCTGACTTTGCAGATCTACTTCGCCATAGGAAACATCGTCCTCACGTATCTGGCTTCCCTAGTCTTAAGCCTCGTTTTTGAGGCACCCATACTCGGCATAGAGAAATTGCTGATGAAGAGGAAGTAAGGAGGCTCCGCGGTCACAGAAAACCAGCGCCTCAACAACGACGCAAGCGCCAGCGCATACACGTGAGCACGTACCGAGGCCGTTCACTGTGATACGCGCATCGTAGGCCCCGTGATCGACCGGTGGACTGACATGACGGCCAGAGCCACGCTGTGCAATTCTCGTGAACGCTGCTAACGCGAGTGGTGCTGCATTCTGCGGTTCTTTTTTTCTTTCTTGTTTGCGTGTGGACAATCGAGCCTAGATTAGCGGCTGCGTTGCACGTAAACAGCCACTGCAACCGCTGCTGCCTCACTCGGATGAATGCTTGCCGTGAGTGAAACGCCAAAGTGTCGAGCTGTGGAGACATCGAAAAACGAGCAGCCGATTTATAATGCTAACGAAGATTGCGGTGTTGTCGGAAAAAAAGTACTTGAACTGCATTTAGTAATGTGAGCATCTAGACAGGGAGAACTCTTGAATGCATTGACGTTCTTCGTTTTCGGTGTGAAGCCGTTGCTTTAAAATCATGTACAACGGTTTTGTTAAATTTCGAATGTATAGCGGGGCACTGCCCGAAACTATCACAGGCTTAGCGGACAAGGACCCCGGTATTTATATTCGTCCGCACAAGGCAGTGCGCTTCTCTTATACGTATACCATCAGAAATGCTCTCGTGCGACCTTCAAAGCTTTTCGTGGCCTTGCCATGAACAGGAGCTTCACCACCTACCTGGGAGAATGGGCTAGTCGGTTCACGGTTTCAAAAAGGTTTAAACTGCGTGACCAAGACAGAATGAAAACAGGAACACATACACACACTCTGCACTTTGTGTGTGTGTTTGTGTGTGTGTGTGTATGTGTTTCCCTGTTTTCGTACCGTCTACATCTCGCAATTTAAACGTTTCTGAAACGGGCCTGAACCGAATTTGGCTCACCTGTATGTGCGTTGGTCGAGCGGGGGAAGCTCGGGTTCATTGACAAATGTGTTACAACGTACACAAACCTATTTAGCACAATGGACGTTATTATTGCCACCGTTTGACTTTACGCAAGAGTTGTTTCATATTTTGTTTCTAATGGGCATTCCGTGTGCTAGTGTGTATCAGTTCTCGTTCAAGTTTTTTTGAAATATTAGGAAGAAAAAATAAAACCTAAAGTGAGATGAGCGTTATTAATGCTCTACAAGGAGGACCTGAACAAATGCACTCAAATGCAAAAACTTCGAGTGCCAGTGATGGAAACATACCTAGAGTACGATCAAAATACTTGTTCTGTCGACTTCGGTCAGGGCAGCAGTCAAGGCACAACATTTCTGATAAAGTGCTGCGACGCTTTATCAGCACTAATTACCTGCTGCGTAACGCGTCACTACATTATAACAAAAGTGTGAGACTTAGCATTTTCGCTGAGTGTTCAAAGTTCAGTACAAAGTTAAAGCGCCTCATAAGTATACTTAAATTTATTGGACAGCTTCTCCGACTGCTATCCTGCTCCCCGTGTAATCTAAAATGATCTGATGTACTTAATGGGGATTCTTTGTTTTCGTTTACATTTCATATCGCTTTTCAGATGTTCTAGATTCATTTCGATATGTACTACATCCATGATTGAAAAGAAAGTATATTCATTGCAGGCATCTTTGAGCCCGCAAGACCATACACACTCGCACACAAACATTTGCGAGTTTTTTTCTGTATAAACGTAGGAGTTACCTTTCGTTCTTGTTTCGTTTTTACTTTACCAACCACGTTTTGTAACTTGTTTTGTTGAAAACTTTCAGCTACGCTTCACATCGCCGTCACTGCTTGTAGCTTGACGCCAGAATTCATGGTTCATCAATTGTTGTTGTTGCCCATTTATACAAGCACACTCATCATCCCCTAGAGCAAGGAGCTATATACAGGCACGTATGCGTGAAGCACCTAATAAAGTTACATTATACTAAAGAAATTGTTCGCAGACCAATTTGTGCCTTCATTTGTGTCTGTCGTACTTTTTTTCCATATCGCCATTAAGGCCACATCAGCGTTACGTTGACGATCGGAACACACCCGGCGGTTAAAGGCCAACTCCGGTGATTTTTCGACCATGTCAGGGTAATGGTGCTCTTATGCTCCTGAGGCACTTTTGTCACGAGCCCGACAGCTGAAATGCTCAGCAAATATGAAAATAATTTGTAATAGGCAAATACGTGCAATACGGAAACCGAAACCTAACCGAGTGCACTGTCTACATATGACGTACTATTTGGCAAGAACTGGTTATCGTATACTTGTCCCGCCAGCGCGGAATATGAAAAGTGTGGAAGGCGAGACCAGCAGGCTTTGGGATCAGAGGCGAGCGCGCCGAGCCGAGCCGGATAAACACCACAGAGGAAAGAAGGAAGCTTTTCCGTGCCAAACACCGCCACCGTCGCGTTGTAAACACACAGTAAACTCACAGTAAACTTTGTAGTGGCCAAAGCTAGCAATTCCATGGGCAGCGTCCCTTCCGTCGGCATGTCAAACATAACGTCAGAGAGACAATGCTGCCAACTATTCTTGCAAGCCAAGTGAGCGTTTCGAGGCAGTCTTTAAAATTAATTCGCAAATATTCAGCGCATATCGCAAGCATATAATTTGGTATAAATGACGGAAATGTGCAAAGGACCGTACCCAGATAATTTCATTTAGATCCATTGACCTCGAGGAATCACCGGAGTTGACTTTGAGTGCAAGACCTTACTAGAAAAAGGACGCACGAAACACGTCTGGTGCAAAATATATATATGTATAAAAAATCACGTCGCAAAAACTTTGACCGCTACGTTTCTTAGCCGCTCAGTGAGCGCGATTCTAAAGCCAACTTCTCGCTACGCACCACCGATCAATATGATCAGAGTGAAGCATCTGTTTCATTCATGCTACCGAAGGCTGCGTGAATGTATACCGCCGTATCTCATTATTGCAGGTCACAGCCATAGAGTTTCCCAAAATTAACTAGAGGTCACTCTGGCGCTGCGATCGTTCAGCGACCATGGGAATGATGGGTAGTACACACAATAGCCTAGCCTTCATATTTGCGGGCGGCGAATCGTACTTGCGGCTTCGTTTATTGCTGGTTATGGTTTTGTTTTGAAAGAAAGAAAGAACGAACCCTTTTGAACTTCGTGACCCGATTCGAAATGGTAAGCCTAAAAGAATAAGGTTGTGAAGCGCAAACGGTGAACATTTGCTAATTTATGTTTTCGTGAAAAAAAACAGCTCCAAGCCACACGAACGCACACGGAGCCAGAAGCAGGCCAGAAGTACAAACATTAGACAAATGTGTGTACTACCCATCATTCCCATGCTCGCTGAAGCACCATGTGTTGCAGCTCTCATAGACACTAGCGCTAGAGTTCCCTCTAGTGTATATTAAGAAACTCTATGGTCACAGCAGCAGCGATTACAGCATGACGAATTCATACCACGTGCTCGCCACGGCGCCTGCAAGTGGCTTTCAGCGTCCTTCTATTTTCGTGGGACCATAATTTAGAAAAATGCACTTGAAAATTGCAAAATAGTGACATACTCGAAATCGCAGCTACCACAGATGCATATGAGGCATCATGTATAGTAGTCAGACAGACAAGTGCTCACGCTATTTGACAAATTCCTTGCACGTGAAACGACCTACATGGCTGATCCCAGTGGAACATTTGAAGCGCGCCATGCTTATGTTCCATTGAGCCTTATGGGTTCCAGCTATGAAACACATAAATTTGGGAGTTTATTTCTTAGGAATTAGAGCCACACTGGTAGAATCTAAAGCAACAGGCCGGTATAATGATCGTTTGCGATAAGCTGTTCACTGTGGCTGTTTCTTCTAACAAAACACAAACAATCAACTGTGTACGTGTTAGCAATGTTCTTTCATGGCGTAAAGTGCGAAGCCCGTTTGCTTTACAGTTTTTATTAGACAATGCCCCTCACCAAGTTGCTTGGCGACGCGCGTACGTAGGAAGCAGACACATCAACATGTTGCGGTAAACAGAGCGTGCACAAAGGACACAACCCATTTGCATGGAAACAGCACCCAGCGAAAAGCGAATCGATATGCTTGTACGTGTTTGCGGGAGAACTCGCTTCTTGCATCACCGATGCGCATCATCCCTGTAGCGAGACGCATAATCGATGCAGGTGCAATCGTGTGAACGACGTACAGCGATTCGCTCAGGGTGTCACTAATCGTGTCATCTGTAAATGCAAATAGCGTGCACATTATACCCACGTGGCATATTCCCGCAACTGGAATTTCCGACAGAAGCGGGCAAACTTTGTCAGTTTGCGAACGTGCGCCTATTGAAATACGCTCTTCCTCCTGGAATTAATATATCGGTACTGTAGTATACTATAAATGCATTCAAAGGTAGATGCTAAGAAGGGCAACTGAATTCTTTCTCAGTAACATATCCTGTCAAGCTAGTTGGTGCGTAGCTGTGTTTCTTGATGTTTCTTGTTTCTTCCTCCTGCATTGCCCCTTTTTCTAGCACGACGAAGTATAGTTGCAATGTGCACCCCCCTCGTTCCCCCAAGAGGAACCGTGGCATGATACCTGTATGTAGGTCAGAGAAGGTGACACAATGGAATCTGCGCACGGTCACCGCACATTATTTCTTAATTGAAAAAGAATAACTTACTATAGGTGACAGTGGTCGGGTCAAACAGTGCTACAGCCTCTAAAACGTTTCCGACGCGAAGCGTCCTCTTTTTCTCCCAACTTGTTGAAGAGCACACATGCAGACATATAGGATGTTAACGCAGCTGCCGTTTGCGCCACGGCACAAAAGCAGTCGTGCAACGGCAGACGCCCAGACGCAGATTTCATCGGCATACGCAATAGTACAAAAGTGCTCGGCACAACGTCGGCCCAAGATTACAGACCAACTTAGCTGACGCTGCGCATAGGTCGGCTGCCAAGATCTGCGCATGTATGGGGATTGATTGACACTGGCCTCGCGTTGGCCGATGCTATGGCCACCGACGTAGCGCTGACCTCATTGATCGACCTGACAGAGTGCTAGCCTTTGTAGGGCCACGTGGCTAGCTGGTCATAAGCTGGCGGCGACCAGGACATAGCCCAGGGACATTTTTGTTTTTGAACGACGATAGTCTTTCTTAGGGTACTTCGACGCAAAAACGCTTGTCAGTCTGTCTGTACATTTGTCTTTTTGTCCGCCATAACTATACCCCAAACGGCACTAGATGATATCTCAAACGGCCAGCCCCTTCCACAGCGCCCACCAATATTGCTCAAGTTTCAGCGTTCATTCTTGTGCAATTCTCAATTAAAAAGCAAATATCGCATATCTGAGGCACCACAGCAACACGTCAATATTTTGTGTGGTATTTCCGGTGGATGCGGAAATGTAGGCCCGTTCGCTCAGATTTGGGAGCACGTTAAAGAACGCCAGGTGGTAGAAATTTCCGGAGCCCTCCACTACGGCGTCTTTCATATATAAGTGGTGCTTTTGGGACGTTAGACCCCACACATTCATATTTTGTATGTGTGTATTTATACTAGAGAAGGCATACTTAAGTAAATCTAAGGACCGTAGCGTTTATCATGCTGCGCTGACCATGCAATGCGATGCTTAAAAAGGCAAGTGTTTCCAACGCTTTGCTAAGACAACAAGGTGGATGCACCTGCCCGTCGCTTTGCATTCTACACCTTGTCCTCCTCCAAGACGGATGCGCACGCCTTCCTTCATTTTCGAAGATAACTGCCAGATAGCGCTCGTGTCTAACATGCCTCAATGCGCTCGTTTGCCTTCACTGCACGGATCGAGACTATTTAAGCCTGTTTCACATGTGAGCGATTTTCTCCAAGAGCAGAGCGAGGCCAAAACAAATTTCTACGGCGGCGACTAGATGCCCTTGTGAATATCGCCAGAGTTGGAAAAATTCGCTAGCGGCACAAGCGGCAGAGCGACCAGTGACGTCATTTGACACGTGATGACGGAGGCGGAGTCGAGAAGTTGACGCGCACGCTGCGAGAAAATGTCTCCACTGAACATCTCTCTCCGACTGAGTAGCAGATGACATCCGTCCTCTCCCTGGTTGACAAATGTTTCGCGCTGCTTTCAACAAGTCGCAGATAGAAGTTTTCAAACGATCTCTCCTTTGGGACGTCAAGATGGAGAAGTTCCGCAAGAAGCATAAGAAGGGCATTCTTTGGGAAGAAATTGCCGTAGTCACATACTTCCATAAAGTAAACGTCGTCACTTGAACTGGCCATGTTCACTGGTGAAGTCGAAGTGCAACTGTTTTCCTTTGGTTGCTCTCGACGATGCTTTCACTGGAGTGACAATCGCGTGCGGTGCCTTTTTATTTAAATAATATTATTACTACTTTCTTCTTTTTTTTGCGTTTTCATCGAAAGTTACTCCCACGTAGAAGAGCCGCATGGAATACCGTACTTCTATGTCGTAGCAATTGTTGCTGGTTTAACAAACGATGACATTTGGTGACGCGGTGCATAGATGAAAGGCTTCACACGATCAAGAGAGCAAGGACGGGTGCTACAGTAGTTGACTTGAGAAGTAGCATTCCACACAGGTCACTGAATAAGAATTTTGTTATGTGACTTAACAAAGAAGAGGCGTCAAGCTTGCTGTCATGGTTCGGAGAAATGAGGCACTCATCAGGGGCCTTTATTTTTCTTCTCCCCTTCAACAACACTTCGATTTCTCACTAAAACACAGGCTGGCTTGTCAGCGTCATCTGCGACGCTTTTCTCACAAGGAACAATTGCATCGTACAGCACTCAAGTTTTCAGGCTGTCGACGGGTCCTGCCACACAGGCCAGCTGCTCTCAGTGACACCCAGTGCAGAAATGCGTGGCATGGCTCGGTGAAAATAGATGTTAGGTCTTCAGCGCAACATACAATGCGCAGATAACGAAGAACAGCTGTTCATTTCAGGCACCAG